ATATTGAGCAGGTGGATAAGTTGGTGGACGGTACTGGCTATAAAAAGGTTGTGAATTGGATGATAACTGATTATGCTGGTGATCGTACGATGGTTGATTTGCAGGATATTGAGGTTGGAAATTATCCCTGAAAGATCGATTAAACCTACAATTACTTTGATGATGTCCTGGGCGATTACACTTCCAACAGACCGGTCGACTGTCGACGGTTCTTAATCTAATAGAACCAGTGCGGGTCAAAAAGGTAGTCTCACTCTGTTGCTTATTCCGTTGAATATCTTACTGTAGAGTTTTTACCAAGTCGGTCAGTTGTTCCAATTGTTCATTCGTCGAGCTTACGGATAAACCTAACGAACCACTATCACCTGAAATGGACAGTAACCTTTCGGCTTTCATGGCACAATCGATGAAAGTAGGAATGGTTGTATCTTCCCATTCGAGAACTTTACTTTTTAATTGAGGAAGCAGTCCAGCAAACAGAAACTCCACAATTACTTTCTCTGTCATGTCAGGATTTACATAGTTACACATATGCCTCACATCCACGATGTAGGAGGACACAGGTTCGCTTTTACGTTGGCGATGGTTCCTCAGCTCATCACGAAGGCAAGTCATATAATCGGAAGGAAGTAAGAAATTTTGCAATTGACTCACAAAAGTTTCCCAAGTGATAGTCGCGAGTCGCGATTTCACTTCTTGGGCAAACCACTTTTTGGCAGAGCCTGCGAGGTACATAGGCACATGGTTAACCTTACCTCGATCGTCCCAATCATAGGCCAATGCGAGACTCTCAAAGTCAGCTATTAATTGATTGACTCGGTTTACACCATCAAAGTTCTGAATTCGGACCTCCTGGAATTATGGTTTGATGAACTGTGGTTCGATTGGAACCAGAATCAGAGTTAGGGCTTGTCATATTAAAGATGTAACACACAAGAAAACACAATTGAATTCGTAATAAACTTGGGTCTGTTAAGCGAACTTTAAATTCTTTTCCGCAGAATCTCAACAGATTACCAAGATCTCGGTGGAACCTCCATGTGAAGACATAAGTATGTCTGAGAAAAAGATGCAAAAAAGGATAACCAAAAAAGGAGAAAAAGACACTTCTTAAAGATAAAGTTAAAACTGCTTTATTTATTCATTACTTCTTTTTTTACAATGTTTAAGTTCAGCTTCTGGCCTCCGCTACTGTTCAACTGCCAAGATAATACTTCTCTTGCTGCCGGGAATACAAAAATAAGGGAGATAAGGAAGGAAATCTGGAGTGCAGATGTTTGCCCTTAGGCTAAAGTAGGCCATAAACAACCAGAAGGGGGAAGAAGAGAAAAGGAAAGATAAACAGAAGGGAATGGTTTTACGGTTGCTTAGAGTAAACAAGAAAGGGGAAAAGAAAGGGGAAAGAAAATATATCTTCACAATATGAATACATGAATTGTTGGTTTGAACATAAAGAAAGGTTACAAGTTTACTCCTCTGGTTCTACATCACAACTGTTGTTTTGTCAAGGTTAACTCTCTTTTTTAAGAGAAGATTCAAATTTACTTTTTCAACTGTCATCTTCATCACAAAGACATTTGTAAGATGACCTTTAGGTTATTGAAGTAAAAACTGGTTTAGTGAAAGGATAGGTTAAGAAGAAAGTATTGAGAGGAAAAATGAAGTAATTATGTTTGTGCTTTTTAAAGCTAAGATGGACATTTGTGAAGCAAACTGCGAAGGGTTGAGTTAATAACTGTATTCTGAAGATGATCTTAGTTGTTGACAATTAGTAAAATGAGTCGGATTTGAATGACTCAAGAAAATCATTAATTAATATGAGAATCAGGAAAATATCATGTTTGGGTTAAATTTAAAGGAATCATTAAGTTTAATTAAATGAATCTTATATCATTCGAAAGGACTTGGAAAAGGCTTTCGAATGATGAGTCAATGATGAAAACATTAATTGTTGGTGAAATAAGATGATCCTTGGAAATATTCAATATTCTTGAATAAACATGAAAGTTAAATTATGTCGGTTTGTAGCTCGACACTGGATGAAGTTACAGACATGAAAAATATATTAATCAAAAGTATTTTACAGGGCTATTCAGATATTTTTACCGATGTTAAACGGCTATATTTTCGCCTGTGATTGACCTTGAGGGGTCAGATTTTCTATAATTAAATTTCGCCGATACTTATTTGCTATATTTCAAGGTCAAGGTCATTCAAGGTCATTTGTCGGAAATCGCTCCTCATACTATTAGAGGTAAAACGAAGGGTGCATTTTCAAGGTCAAATAATCGTAGCGGTCAAGATTTATTACTCTGGCATAAGCGTAACCTTATTTATTCAAACTTAAAGCAATCAAACTCACTTTAAAATTTCAATTCTGCGATTTTCTTGTTAATCATTTTCATTAAATCATTTTATCAAACTGTCATCAAAATGTCTCACAAATTCACTAAAGCTCAAAAGATTGATCTTTTGGAGTTTTATTTAGCTTCAAAAAAATCCTGCACGCTTCAGTTGCTGTTAGATGTGCAGCGTGTGTTGCTTTGGAAGGAAAGCAACTGAAGCTGCACAAAGATTACAGCTAGAGGGATTATAGAAAATCTGACCCCTCAAGGTCAATCACAGGTGAAGATATAGCCGTTTAACATCGGTAAAAATAGCTGAATAGCCCTGTAGATGCTCTTTCTAATGATATGTTAATTGTTATTGTCAGTTGTTTAATTCTGTAAAAATAGTAGGGTCGCCAGGATGACTACACCCATTATATTCCTACATGAATACATAGACTTTTGACGCCGGGCAAGTTAATGTTTTAAGAGATCGAGTCAAGTTACAGTAATCAATTATATCAAGTAAATCAAATATATATCATTAAATAGATCTCAAAGAGACGAAGCTAAAGTTATATAAATCAATGTTGAAAATTATTTGGTTGATGAATAGATGATGCCCAAGTTTGAGTCCAAAAAGGGAAAAAATTGAAAAATTTAAGGTTAAATTAAATTAATGAAAAATATGCTTCTAAGAGTGAATCTGTTGTAGTAATGAGGTCTGATTACAACCAACATAAATGAGGGTTGTGAAGAGCAAAAAGTCAATAGAAGAGATTGTACTAGAGACGCCAATCAAAACATAGCAAACCATAATTGTTGAAACTGTGGTCAAAGAGACTCTAGACATCATCTGACTTGTGTGAAATTGCATGGTCATCCAAAGTATTGATAATGGCGATCATCAGACAAAACACTTGAGCTTCCGACAGAGTTTTTAACTTGTTAAAATCGTAATATTGACCTATTGATATTCGTCGCATGCAAAGAGAATTTATGTAAAATCATTGAAGAATATCCGATCAAGTACAATTGTCTAAAATTTATTGGGGGCTTCAAAATGTACGCGTGAAAATAGGGTTCTTGAGGTCACAACTTATCGGTAATACTGTTTTATAGAAGGTACGCTTTGCTAGGTCATTAGTGTAAAGTATCGTGTAAATCGAAATAATTGTTAATGTGTTAGGCCAAAAAAGGTCAAATTAATTTTGTGTAATACAGGGCCGTCATTGACCTCTTGATATGCAAATAGAGGTCATTTTTCGAAAACTTATCCTAATTAAATTATGTCTGCGGCACTGGTACTGTGAGAAGTGCCGGCATCAGAAAATGCATAAATGAGTTCAAATCTGGCCTCATTCAGATTATGAATAAGCTTTGGATCGGACGACAAGTTTAAGTTGACTGTACTGCTTTTGGACACTGTGCGATAGACATTTTTGACCAAAACATGGAAATTTCTATCTAAATATTATCTTAAGACTTTAAACTATCGATTGATACCAAATTTATTATCTTAAGAGAATAATCAGGGCTCAAAAAACTGGTATGAAAGCGTGTTTCGCTTTTGCTCACTCATTAAAGACAACACTCGTTGCCGAACGTCTGAACAAAAAATGGCCTTACGAAAAATAAAGGATGAACATTGGTCAAACATGTATTTTTTTCTTATGCTTGGACCTCTAGTGACTTCTTTTTGTTCTTTTATTGCAAAAAATTATACGTGGACAAGAGTTTAGAACCCCAGAAGCCACAAGTCCAGCCAAAAAAGGCCTTTTCGTAACTATGGCCGAATTTCGGTATAAGAATTGACTTGACGCCATACCTCGCTAGCTACGTAACAGTACTGACCTGAGGTGTCTCTATTCATGAAATGAAAAAAATAGACCTCAAGGAAGGGTATTTTCACGCGTACATTTTGAAGCCCCTAATAGATAATTGTTGATTTCCTGTTAACGCATCCTGTTGATGAAGTTGCATCAAGATGGTGTTGTTACTAACAGTTGTTGTCAGTTATGCACATTTTCAAGAAGATATTTAAGTGCATTAAATCAACAATTTCCGGAAGTTAGTGAACTTATTGACCACCATATCACCATACTGGAAGAGGCAGTGCGAATTTAATTAAAGATTTATATTAATACGAGTTAATATATTACTAACTCTGTACTACTGCTGACCTACGATGAACACAAATATTCCCTGACATCAACTCATGCTCTTATGCTTTTCCGACACGAGATAACAAACTGTTTTCCCTTTGAATCAAACCTTTCATCATCTCAGACTCTTGAATCAGAACATTTCTTCATGATCTTCATTTCAAATTCATACCAAGTGAACTGTGTGTCAATTTAATATTTGAGTTTGAAATTATAAGTCAAAAGACAAATGAAATATTGGATACAAAAATCAGTCGATTAATCGATGTCCAGAAAACTTGGGTTGTTCTGATATGGTTCAGTTCCAAAATGATTTTCTCCAGGAGGGAATATACTTTTTGTTTTTGTTGTCACAAATATTGGGGAAAATTGTGACTAGTTAATAAAATACGGATTTTAGATCATCAGATATTTTTTATTGTATTATTACGGTCAGCTTTCGTGCGGTTATATGAAATCTTTAGTGAATTCATAAATCATAATTTAATAAATAATAATTCAATGGAAGATAAAAAAATATGCTAACAACTTTATTGTAACTTTTACAAATCGGATATAGTGCACTGAACTTCCAGGCAATTTAGCGACACTGCTTAAAGTCTCGGTAATCCTGAAATGATATCACTTTCAATGTAACATTCATTATTTCCTCGTCTGATCTTAAAGAAACCTGTAAAAATAGATATTTTTATTGAATGAATGCTATTACAGTAAATGATGTATAAACTCACCTTTATCGCCCCAATACTCGTTCCAGGAGTTTGCAACTAACCAGTAATCAACGCCATTCTCAGTTCCCCAACCAATTATCTTAACACCTTGAGCCCCAAGCGAATGGTCAGTAGTCTTTTGATAAACTCCTAAAAGAAATTAAAAGCAAGTTTAATTCAATCGGGAAGATGAGTAAAGGATTTTGAGTGGAAAACTAGTCAATTTACCAGGCGAAAGCGAAAATTAATCTTACAAGATGTAGTAGATCAAACAAAAAACTATTAATAATATATATATTTGTAGAAATATGAGTTTTAACAAAACTACGAAAAAGGTTTCAAAACTAACCTGACTTATAATTAAGGAAATCAGCATACACAGTGATACCACTAGAAATCGGGCCATTTGTCATGATTTCCTTCATGATTTGCTTTGGATCTGATGAAACAACATAAGGAGTCAGTCCATAGTGTTTATCCTCTTCAAATGTTTTCTCATAATCAGCGGCACATTTCTTTGAACATGATGGTGTTGGTATAGGAGATTGAGGACAAGTTGGGATGGGTCCTTCAATACCATGCATACAAGGTTCGAAATCGTAAGGCATACAACCATCACCATGATAAGAACCACCAGTAACAATACCTTCAGTTGCATAATAGATATAAACGGCTACTTGTAATCCTTGATCACAGCCACCGAGATTAGAACAAGCAACAATTTCTTGTGCTGATAATGATACTTGAAGTTCACCATGAGAGGCGATACAAATACGATCAGACATAGCTTCGACTGAGCTAAAAGCCCAACCGCTTCCACAGTTTCCTTGGTCTCTTATTGTTTTGATTAGTGTACAGTTGGGCCAAGCTGCACGAGCATCAAAACTTTCAGGCAACTCTTCATTGATTTCGTGATGAACTTGTCTCAGCTTTTTGGATGAACCTCTTTTAGCTCCTAAAAGTCTCTTAACATATGGTAATGAAGCTTCATCAAAGTTACGTCCAGCCTAAAAGAAAATCAAAAAAGATAAAATTTCACTCTTCGTGGCCTCATAGATTAAAGGACAAAAACATTACCTTCCAAGTTGTTCCAATAGAGTTGATTCGATCAATCATCTCATCAGATAATGGATGAACATTTCGTTGAGTAAATACTCTTGCTCCATAAGCAAGGCTTACTGAGAGAACTAGAAATATTAAAGATTTCATGGTAAGAATGGTTTTAATGATAGTAATGCATAATTTGGTTCAATAAATAGCATAAAGTTATCGCATAAATCGTGAGTGTGGGAGTTGCGCGTATCTGATTTCGCATTAAGTCGATCTGATTGTTTCACAGATAAATCTAACTTTAAACCAAATCTACAATTATGTGTCCAAAACCCTCCCAATACCTCCTACAACCCACAAATCAATAACATGCATCTACAGATGTATATTAGATTTAGTTATAATAAATGGCCGTTTTTTGTAGCAAATCTTTACCTTAAAAGGAGTCTTTGTAAAAATCTGACCTTCGAGTTAAGATTTAAGACTTTGTGTGTTTGTAGGAACCTTAAAACATAATCCATTAGTGTTAATGAAAATTTCTCCAATCGACCTTTTTCGAGAAAATCGTTCAATTATTGGACCAGATTTTTCCATAAAACTCATTTTACTCGTGAGAATTTTGATGGTCAACCAGAAAATGCACTTATTTTGCGAAATAGAATTCATTGTTTCTGTACAGTTCAGTTCGATTTTCAATTAAAACTCCATTCTGTGAGTTAAGCGTTAGAGAGCTTATACTTGCTCCTTGCTGCTTATACCAACAGCTCTCTTGATATTCGCTATTTCAGGAATCAGGTCAGATTCTCTGATATTCAGTTTGCATTCAGATATAAGATTTGAATTAGAATAGCCGTTTATTGCCTTTATAAATCAAATCTGACAGCATTAGTACAGTGCTAGAACATCTACTTGCATGATCTAGAATGGTCTAATAATTGATGAAAGAAAGATTTTGATTGTAAGTGGTTCCATTCTCGTGTATCGAAATTCGAAGTTATGAGACCAATGGGTAAAGTCAAGAGAACTGTCGATAAATTGAAAGAAGTTGACGATTGTTGAGGTGCACAATTTTCTCTCACAAAAAAAGTAAGTTTCAGCTTTCTGACTCTTACGGTCACTCATATCATAACTTATTGCATGTAATTCATGAAAGTTGGGGATAAAAATATATTGGAAAATTTTTAACAAACAACAAACATGAATTCTGGAAAATAAAATTTAAGCCAAAAAATAATGAGATAAGTGTAACTCCAACAGTTATAATCATTGAACCAAATGAGTCACAGATTTTGCCTGTTATTCTTCTAGTCCAGTTTATTTGAATATTTTCTAAAGCTGAATAATCTCAAAATGTCCCAGTGTCGCATCTTATCAATATAGACCAGAGTTAGACTATGCAAATCTAAATTCTGATAAAAATAAATTTTTATATTCAAAAGACATAAATGTTCTCTTCTCTCTTATTTTTGCGGTAACAATCCTAACAAAACAAAACAAAAATGGCAAGTGTAATTGTAATTTAATTTGATATTTCACGAGTCCGGTTAGCCGAAATATTCTATTGTATCCAGTTCGGGCATAATTGTCCAAATTTTGCCAGAAAAGTTTGTGATTCACCTGAATTAGAGCCAAATGACTCATTAAAAGTAAGTGATATCTGTAGATGAGACTTTGGTGTATCTTTTGCATTTGATTTGACGTCAATGAGACCTTACGAGCAAAATTCATGCACTTGAAGATTAGATTTGATTTCAAAAGTGACATTTTCTGTGCTGAAACAATCAGATCAAAATAATGCGAAATAAGGTACGTGTAACTCCCACAATTATTATCGGAGCGTAGTGAAACGAAGTGAAGATTTTTAACTCAGGTCCCATTTTGAAAAACCACTTTTTAAATTTCTTGTTGGTCGCATAACTAATGAACGAAAACATCTGTCGAACTGCTATTGACCACCAGACATCTATATGAGAGAAAGATTAACTGATCAACTTTTGGAGGTCATCCGAGGTCATTTTTCGGAAATTCGACCTTTGACCTTTAGATCACTTTTGAAAGGCATTTCAAAATTTTTGCATCATTTTGATCACTACGCAACAGATTCATTATTATATCACTGAATATTTATGCAATAGGACTTGAAACTTGCAAAAGCTATATAGCATATGAAAGGATTCTGTTAAGAGAGTCAGTCTATTATAAGCCACACAGGTCAGCAAGACACACAAAAAGTATAACTATCTCAATAATGATGAGCATACGACGAAAATGCGAAAAAGGTAGACATATGGGTTTGACATTTTTCGCCATGGAGTGACACATTAGATCAAAATTGTAATTAGTTGATGTTGTGAAGCTATAACTTTATAAAGTGTTGCATATCAGTCAGAGTAATTATTGGTAGATTTGGGAGAGAAATAGAAAAGAGTGAAAAAAATCGAAATTTGCAAAGCTTTCAGATCAAACGTAAATTCTGCTTATTCATTCGAAGATCTCAAATCGGGTGTTTATGCACATGCAGCCATTACAAATTGAATTTCTTATTCATTCATAAACTACATGTATATCAATTTACAATCACAATCTATCACTTCTCAATACAATAGTACAATAGGGCAATGTATAACTAACGCTCCGATTTTGGCGAGCGATCGTCTGACCTAGTTATACATGCGATTACTTTATGCTATTTATTGGAATAACTTCTTCGAAACCTATGTATTACTATTCTAACAATGAAATCTTTAATATTTCTAGTTCTCTCAGTAAGCCTTGCTTATGAAGCAAGATTATTTACTAAAGGAAATGTTCATCCATTTTCTGATGAGATGTTTGATCGAATCAACTCTATTGGAACAACTTGAAAGGTAATGGATTTTTCACTCATGTCTTCCTCTAGTGAGGATGAAGCTGCTGTGAGCGGGTGCAAACCTGCTACAAGCTACCTGTGGTGGAAGCCTCACTAGATTCAGAGCTGGCTCATGCTATGTGTGTATGTTGTGGAAGGTCTGAAGCTTCAACAGCATCGAAGTGTAAACGAGGAACCAAAGAATCTCGTAAGTTTCTTCTCATTACTTCGGATCTTTTCTGTTGGGTTCGAGAGAACAGCGAACATGCACCTCAAATTGATTTTTTCCCGTCGATGTGGATCTGTAAGCTTTGCAGAAATCGGTTTGATAACTTTAGAAAGCGTGGACAAAGATCTGAACAAGGTGTCATGGAAGCATTACACGAAGATGAGGTTGTAGCAGGACCAAGCCATGCTTCCACACAAGCAGAGTCAGCTCAAAATGGTGACCATCAATTGCAGGATGCCATCAATCAGATGGCAATCAACTACTGATTGGTCGGAAGAAGAAACCCCCAACTTTTCATCATCTTTAGCTAGCATAGGAAGTAGCATTAAGAAGTCCATCAACAGTCATACTCAGTGCATCTTGCGTTCAAGAAAAAAGGCAGGTTGGTGGCTATTCCAAAGCAGAAGAGGATTGAAGTGATACAAACTCACAATATCTTCATTTCAAATGGTGCAAGATGTTGTAGTGTTCACTTCTATGAACCTACTCATTGAGCTTCATGAAGCTGTGCAATTGTGCAGCTCAGAACTGTCCAAGCGACCTACCTATTCTTCAGCTAGCTGAAGATGATACAACTATGGATGCTTTCTATAGAAATTACACGAAGCTGACTGTTTCACAGTTTAAAGATCTTCGGACATATTTGCCGGATGATAAATCAATCTGGATTACCAGGCTTTTTACCTTCTTAGTCAAATTGAGGAAGACTTTAAGTGACGCAGACATTGGCTTTCTCTGTAGACATTCGCGGAGTACTGCTAAATCTTGGAAACAAAGTGTGAATATTGAGCTCATGAAATCATTTGTTCCTAGTAACTTGGGATTTCATACACTGACTCGAGAAACTGCTTTGTCTCGTGTAACTTAGATAGCCTTTGTTCAAATGGAGATACATCAACTTTAATAACTATCGGGGATGGAACTTATATTTTCAAGCAAAAAGTTCAAATATACGATTTCAAAAGGCATCATAATGCAAAAAAGAAAGCATCTAACAAAACCGATGCTGTGTGTCCTCTAGATGATCGCTTGATCAGTATTTCCGTTTCCGGTCAGTTTTAGTGAACTTGTAAAAGGAGTAATATTTCAGATAAAGCTAGAGCTTTTTATCAAGCATTATTTTTTTAAAAATTGTGATATCAATTCGTCAAAACGGGAATGGTCAGCCTAATCGCATGGAAAAACCACCTCGGTATCAAACTAAAAACGAGTAAGTGAAAAATTGAAATTTACTTTTACCACAGTGTTTTTTTGATTTTTTGATTTTTTCTGCAAGGTGGATACCTAAAATTCGCAATTGGAATCTTCGTTATGCAAAATGTGCAAATCTATGAGTGGTCTAAAAATTCTCAAAAACCCCTGAAATTATGAAAGCCGCTAAAGAGGTGATTGAGGTACATTTTAAGGAAATAATTTTATTGTAAAAATTTCGGGTAATTTAGCTCGAATGGTTGCTACCTCACACGCTCTGTTGGGCGTATTTTGAAGGACGATTTCGTACTAAGATTCAGATCAAACAGCAGCTAAGCTGAGATGCCAGAAAAGTGTTATGATTTGGCTAAAAGAATGCTTGAACCGATTGAATCTGGATAAGTGGATGCGAATAAGATAATTTTTACCACGAATCTCATTTTCACCTCAACAATGAAGTTTATAACTAGAAAAATTGTCGAATTTGGGCAATAGAAAGACCCAGAACAGAAAATCTTTTCCTCGATAACTTTGCAGGTCATACAAGTTATTACACACCACAAAATATTGTCCCTGCTTATCTTCCTCCGAGTACCACTTCAATTACTCAACCTCTGGACGGATGAATAATTCATTCTATTAAAGCAAGATACAAAAAAAAGTTGCCAGAATTTCACATTGAAAAATATTGTAATGAAAATATAAGTCAAAATACTTCCCGTCAAAACAATGATATCGACCTTTACAAGCCAATAACCATAGTTCACCAATGTTTTGTTGATGTTGAGGAGTCAACAGTTGTTCATTGTTGGAGACGATGTGGGTCTCCAGTTTAAATTAAATATTTAATGAAAAATTAAACAAAACAAATCAAAGCTACCTTCACTTTCTTTTTCCTCTAAACCAAAACAATGATTGGTAACATTTTTGCCTTTCCTGATAGTCCACTTGAACACTAAGTAAATTAAATGTTGAACAAAACAAGTAAAATCACCACAAAAAGATTAATTTTATAAATGAATTTTAAATAAACATATGATTGTCTTTTCTGTGATTGGTCGGAATAGTGTGTTAATGCAACGCTCCTCCTTGTGTCTGTATAACTAGACTATTACCGATTTTACTCAATGTTTATGTGTGTTGATGACAGTTATTAATCTTCTTACAGTTAAGTAAGTTTTCCTGAAATATCAACAGTTGCTTTGAAAAAATAATTCTAATAATCCTTTGAAACCAGTAATGAGATACATTTAATAAAAGGTATATCCAGATCTTCTCTCGATGATCTGGACTTTGGACTAACCACACTTTGGATGGCATATTTTAATACAAAATTGGATAAAAGTTCCAAAAAATAAAAAAACCTAAATACCTAAAAACAGACAGGTCAATTATGTGTATATAAGATGATGCGATCATAAGATGAACAATCGCCTCCAAGGGTTTCCTTTAGTACGATATATCACTGAAATTGTCGATATAAAATCGAGTTGAAATCATCGCCTAATAACGATATCGGTTGTCCAGAAATAATGAGGCTAGGCTCCCCTGTATAATTTAGCGATTTGAAGCTAAATGCAATCAATATATTTATATTAGTTAAGCTAATAATAGATCACTTTTAGTTTTATTATTGGTACTAGTTACTTTAAAATTATCATGCAAAATAGTTATTACTGTATTTTAGTTCGACATCTTTTTTCCGAATGAAAATCTGACTATGAAATTTTCGAGTCTCTAAGGTCAAAATATGGTATAAGTTCACCAGGTTACTCAACAATACAAACTTGTATTAGACACATCAAATATTTTGGTGGTTTGGCTGAAAAAGCCCTCCTTCCAGAAGACCAAGACAAGAGACATAAAAATGTCCCACTGATACAAAAGGCCATTACGAAAATAGAAAATTTACGGTTTGTGAGTTATCGTCAATGTTCAATATAACTGAATCTTCAATTCGGAATATTTTTTCAGTTCATCTTGGCCTTAAAACAATCGATGCCCGCTGGATCACTAAAATTCTTAGTGATTACGATAAAAAACGTAGATTTGAAAGCGCAACTGAATTTTTGGATCGATATAGAAAAAATTGGACGCATTATGAAAGAGGATAGTTACTGTCGATGAAACGTGGATGAAATTTAGGCCTGATAGTGGACGTTACGCAGTTTTGAGTGGTTAAAACCTGGCTCAAGTCGGCCTCAAAGAGGCGGCAATAAATTCATTGGACAAAAGGTTATGCTAACCGTTTTTTGGGACTCAAACGGAATATTATTGACCGATTATCTTGAAAATGGTGAAAAATTCAATTCTGAACATTATTTATCCTTACGTGACCAGTTAAGTCAAATTCTAAAATTATCAAACGCTGACAAATTGCAATCGAAAATTCCTTTTCTTACAAGATAATGCCCGTGTACAGACCACGCACCGCGTCAAAGAAAAAATCGATGAAATCGGTATTGTATCGATAAATCACCCACCTTATAGCCCAGACATAAGTCCTTGTGACCATGAGAAAATGTTCATGGGAGTCGCTAGACGTGCTTAAATTAGCTGTTGACGAATTTTTCTCATCTAAAGATTTGCCCTGGTTTCAAAGGGGCATCGATGATTTAGTCCCTAGAATGCATAAAATTATTGATGCAGAGGGAGATTACTTTGACGAAAATAGAATTTCAAGTCTTGAAACAATTCAGTTTAGTTCAGCCTCATTATTTCTTGGACAACCGATAGTTTTGATACAATCGCACTTCTCTACTTTGTTGTCAACAGAGTTACATTCATTTTTCAGAGTCACGAAAAATGTGGGAATTTTGAAAATACGAACTTTTTATCTTCAGATATTTTTAATTGTAATGCTACGGTTAGTTTTCATGCTTTCTTTGTCATATCAACAATAATATAATATATGTAACAATCACGTATAGCTACTTATTAAACTAAAAACTTCAAGAAATTGATTTCAGTGCAATTCATCCAGGCAATTCATTCAATTTGAACATTCAAAGTTTCGGTAATCCAGCAACGACATCGTCTTCGATGCCACATTCATCATTTCCTCGCCTGATCTTGAAGTAACCTGTAAAAATATTTGTTTTTGTTAAATAAATAATATCAACGTAAATTATGTACAAACTCACCTTTATCGCCCCAATATGTGTTCCAAGAATTTGCAACTAACCAGTAATCGACACCATTCTCAGTTCCCCAGCCAATTATCTTAACTGCGTGACCACCAAGCGCATCGTCAGTAGTCTTTTGATAAACGCCTGGGCCATGATGAAATATACATTTATATTTTATTCGAGTGGAAAAATATATTTGAAACAAGAATTTAATTAAGAATTGAGTGCAAATTATGCATTTGCCCAAAGCTACAAGCAAAATATATTTTGAAACTAACCTGACTTATAATTAGGGAAATCTGCATAGACAGTGAAATCTACAGTAACTGGACCATTTGTCATGATTTCCTTCATGATTTGCTTTGGATCGGATGAAATGGTATAAGGTTCCTGGCCATAATGTTTATCCTCTGCAAATGTTTTCTTATAACCAGCAGCACATTTCCTTGAGCATGGAGGTGTTGGTTTATAAGTTTCAGGACAAGTTGGGATAGGCCCTTTAATGTGATGCATACAAGGCTCGAAAACGTAAGGCATACAACCATCACCATGATAAAGGCCACCAGTAACAAGACCTTCAGTTTGATAATATTCATAGGCAGATTCTGGCCATCCACCACCACAACCACCGAGATCAGCACAAGCAACCATTTCTTGTGATGATAATGATACTTGGAGTGCACCATTAGAGGCGATACAAATACGATCAGACATAGCTTCGACTGAGCTAAAAGCCCAACAACTTCCACAGTTTCCTTGGTCTCTGATTGTCCTGATTTGGGTACAGTTGGGCCAAGCTTCACGAGCATCAAAACTTTCTGGTAACACTTCATTGATTTCGTGATGCACTTGTCTCAGCTTTTTGGATGAACCTCTTTTAGCTCCTAAAAGTCTCTTAACATATGGTAATGAAGATTCATCAAAGTTACGTCCAGCCTAAAAGAAAATTAAAAAATAATAATATTAATATTTCACTCTTCGTGGCCCCATAGATTAGAGAACAAAAACATTACCTTCCATGTTGTTCCAATAGAGTTGATTCGATCGATCATCACATCAGACAATGGATGAACATTTCGTTGAGTAAATACTCTTGCTCCATAAGCAAGGCTTACTGAGAGAACTAGAAATATTAAGCATTTCATGGTAAGAATGGTTTAAATGATAGTAATAAATGATTTTCCATAAATTTAGCTCAATAAATAGCATAAAGTAATCATACGAAAACACCATTGTGGGAGTAACGCTTGCCTTTTTTTATTGTTTTGATCTGACTATCCCATTAATAATATTTGGCATGTGTATGTAAGATGGCACTTTTTGATGATCAATGCGTTGTTGATATTTTTGAACAAAAGTGATACAAATTTGATCATCGAAGTCTCCTCTTCTTCAAAGCCTACAAGTTCAAAGCTTTACCTGCTTAGGAAAGCCTTCAGGCTCAACTCATCTTTAGTTGGGTAGCTTTACCCGCCCTCACAATTCAATCAAAATGAAAACCATTTGCAGCAAAACGTCTTTGCAGATATTTTCAAAAGAAACTGGAAAACTGTCTGTTTACGAGTCTATTTACTCTGCTTAGTTCGAAAAATATTGAAGCGCAAACATCCGGAGCTCATTTTCTAACACCCCGTATGAAGGAAAGTTGGCTAATTATTAACCACGACAATAGATTATTTTGAAACAAAAATGATTCGGGAATTTTAATTGTGTGACATTTAAATATCCAGATGAACCAGACTAAATGAAAAAGCAGATGAATTGTTTTTATTTTAATTTTCACATGATGTATTAGTAAATCATTGGCGATAACAATATCATTTACAATCTTATTGTAATAATAATCGGAATAAAATTGCTATCAAAATTCATGAGTAACGAATGAATTAGAAAATCTTAATCAATTTTTTTCCTCTTTTAACAGACTTTTTGTTGCTTGCCTAAAAGATTGAATAAAATTGGCCATCAACTAGCGAACACTTTTTTCTCCATTTTCAACATTTCTCTTGACTTTGGACATACATAATACGTAGATCTTATAGCAAATTGACTATTACCATCACATAAAGTGGTGGATGAGCACCGTAAATCGACCGGTTGTACACAATTTTATTCTCCAATTAAGTACCTTCTCTAATTACAACAGGAAATGAGTTGGTGAATGATGAAAAACCTGTTTCTGTCCCAAGGATGATCGGCGTTCCAACTATAAACTCGCTTTCTCGCAGATTCAAAAACTGATGATCACAGAAATTTTTAACTGTCCAAATGGACTTTCACGCTGCTACTAAATCACAAAGTTTTATTTTCAACTCACGAAAAGTTCTTGAACTCCTTTGTTCATTTAGTTGGTCTGTGAAGTGCGAGAAAAAACTCTATTTCATTACAAAAAAATTCATCATCTATTTTGAATAAAAGAGTGAGTTGGATAACAAGCTTAACTTGATTTCACATCAAAATCACATGCATATCTTGGAACAATTAGTAAAAACTAAAAAACGTTGAATCCAAAATCAGATTCTGTCTTTTCTTCTAATCAAAACTTGAAGTTACCACCAATTTTCAGTTATTCTGGTTAATTATCAAAAGTCACTCATGATATCTAATCAACCCATCGCATCACACCAGAATAATTTCTATTCATGTTCGCCAATTCATTTCATCATTAAAATTTTACCCCTTATCAGGGGATCTGATGCACTTGACTTATCTAAGCTCTGAGTTATTCAGCCAAGAGAAAGTGTTGTCCTAACTAGGAAGTTAAAAGTCACTCTATTAACCAAACTGAGCGATAAGATTAAAGCCTATTATTGAACCAGTGATAATGTAGAGTTCAGTGCAAAGCTATTAGGAAAATTCATTTCAATTATAAATCAAGAGCTAAAATGAGTGATTTATCTAAATGAAGTTTTAGAACACTTCTAAACTGATAACATACTTTACAAATAAGCTATGAAAAGTAAGAAAATTCGTCATCAATCAGTGATATTTTCATTTCTCAGTTATTTTCACTATTTGATTCCCAATACTTTTGCTAGAAGCTTTATGTTATTTGTCATTATTATTGACTTTGCCCTGCTTAACTTTTTTCAATTTCACGCCATTCTCTAGAGATCAAAGCGTTTGATAAATTTGATTGAATTAATCGTTAATTTACTCACTGGCTCTGATTAAGTTGTACCTGAAGTTAATTGTTCAGGGGCAAGAGATAACTTTGACAGCGCCCATTTTTTGTTCAATAAAATTGTGCTCAACATGGATCAAGCATTCAGTTCAAATTGTCCCATCAACACGATTTCACTGGTAAAATGTCTCTTCAATTGTATCACACCACTTTCTCTCCACCATCCAGAGTTGTTCGAATCATAGTTAAACAACTTGGAATCAATGCCGAAGAAAAAGAAGTCAGTTTATTGACTGGTGAACATATGAAACCAGAATTTCTCAGTGTAAGTAAACTTTACTTTGAGTTTGTCACTTTCATTCATTTCAGTTTGGAAGAGTTTCAATCATCACAGTCGACAATATGTTTTAATGTTTTCATCTATTATTTTTCGTTTGTTTCAATCTCTTTTTTGGTTTCTTTACCTGTAGATTAATCCATTCCATTGTGTACCCACCTTGGTTGACGATGGATTCGCACTTTGGGAAAGGTAAGAATTAGTTGAAAGTTTTTACTGTTGGGAAACTTACCGATTAAATGTCTTGTAATTTTCACATAGTCGCTCCATCATCACTTACCTTGTGGACAAATTTGCTCCTGGAAACTCAATTTATCCAACTGAGTTACAAGCTCGAGCAGTAGTCAACCGATGGTTATTCTGGGATGCAGGAACCTTGTTTTCAACTTTAGGTGCTTACTTTGGACCAATTTTCCGTGGTGGTTCAGCTCAACCTGAGATGGCTGAACTCTTCAAGAAAAAGGTTGCTGAGCTTGATTCCATATTGGAAAAGACTAAATATCTCGCTGGTGATGAGTTGACCATTGCTGATATTACAATCGCAGTTACAATTACAACGGCTACAGCTGTTGGAGTTGACACAAGTGAACTTAAAAATGTTGAAAAGTGGTTGCAACAAGTGGAATCTGATTTATCAGCATCAACCTGGAAAGACTTAGTAATTGATCCAGCCAATTCTCTTGGAACTTTCGTTAAAGCAAAAATCGCTAGTTCATAGATTATCCTAAAAATAATCAATAACAGAAGGAAGCTTCTTAAATTCAATTTGAGAATATAAGTCGCGCAATAAAAATTTAATCTTAAAAAATATGTCCACCATTTAATTACTGTCCGGTTAATATTAATAAATACTAATAAAATCGACATCTAGAAAGTTAAAGATCTAATGTTATATATATTTTAATGATGATCGGTACATTTATAAGAATTTTTAATGCTTGTACGCCCAACTATTATAATATCTATGATAATCACACGCAAAGGCGTTTTACAATTTGGCTGTGTTTAAATGGCCATAAATTAAAAAAGTCACAATCAACTCACAAGTTCCAATCGATAGTAGTTTCTATTGATAAAAAGATGGCATCGCTTTTTTCAATATACTTTCCATTCAATTTATAGTGAAACATGAGTTTTACCACAGTAGTGCTTCAGCACTCTTCATTTTCCAGGTTCAACCACACCTGAAACTGTTTCAAACACTCAAATTGACTTCAACGTCTACAATGCATTCCAATCATTTTTTCAATCAATCCCTCGAAAGCGAAACAATATCTCGAAAAATGGATTGGACAACGAATTTAGAATGCAATTTTACTTTAAATTGTTGCAAAACTTTCAAATAAAATCAATAATTTTCAAAATAATCAACCGTCAATTCCCTTCAATCCGAACACCATTTGGTTGCTATTAATGAAACTTTAATGGTTAATTACAAAAAACTGTCCCTTAATAATGTATCATGTAATTAAATCTATTATTCATCAATGGAAAGAGTTAAATATTGATTTCCAATCAAACAATATAAAAGCAATAATTGGAAAGTGTTACATTTGTGTTACAAGGAACAGATTTGAGGAAAAATTTATCGTCTAAATTAATGAAATTAATATTTCCATAAAAATTAGTATAAATCCATGATACCGTTTCAATTGTAACAAATATGGTTGAAGGTATAACAATAGAAATACAAAAAATTTTAAACTTGTTAGCAATTTATCCATATGTTGATGAATTCAGTGAATACAAAAGTTATCCTAAATGGTTGATAATCATTACTTTGGGAGTTTTATCATTTTTACATGGACTTCACAGCTGTTATTGGTCATTTATTTATTTGTGTCACTTTGAATCGACCTTTACATCAATAACCAAATGCCTCTATGATATTCACTATGATTTAATTAGTATCATTAGAGGTTTGGTTGTACTGTTCATGTTTGACTGGGCAGCTCTAGACAATCACGTATCAATCACTCAGAAAGTATGGCTGAAAATGGACCAAAAGAGTCATGAATTTATCATAAAATCAAGACGCTTTAAGCTAATTGTGATGACTTTTTCATCGCTAAACGATTTGATCTGGACCCTTGTTGGTGCTTATCTATTTCCAACTGATTCAGAAGATTTTAAAGATCGACCTTCCATTTACAAATATGTTATTGCTGTTTGTGAATTTGTCACAGTAATGGGTTGGCTATTCATGTTGAACATGATTTCAGAGATTTGCATCAACTTACAAGCCATGTTTGCAATGATTAATCAAAAGTTGACCGATCATCCTTTCAATATTGATCACCTAACCGATCAAATCAAGATTTATCGCAGCTATTACAGTCTAACCATCAGGGCGACCCAATCAGCCGAGACTTTCTTATGCTATTATCTAACAATTGTTTACATTGAATTCATTTACTCTAATTTGGTCAATAATATTTTCAATCTCGCTTCACCAACAAATTCATTAGCTGATTCATTGCAAATTTTATGCTACAACCTTTCAACAACAACTTACCTCTTCTATTTAACATACAATTTAATTAAAGTAAACTACTTTTCACACAAAGGATCAGAAGATTTGTATGAATTGTCCCTTTTAACGGATGATAATCAGTGCAAACAAGAGGTGAGTTGATCAATTGCCGTTCACCAAACCTTTAATTATGCCTTTCTTTGACAGATTGAATTATTTCTCTATCGTATGTCCAAAAAAGATGTTGGATTCACTTTTTCCAAGCTATTTGTGATTACACCAAACTTCATCACTTCCCTGTTTACCCTTGCATTAACATTAATTTTAGCCTCACCAAGCTTCAAGCTTAACCCTGACTAATCAAATTGATTATGCTTGACCAAAGTAGCCCTGAAAATATCTTTGAAAATGTTGATCATTTCGTTGAATAATGACTGTAAAATCGTTCAATAAACAGGTTTGTGATGCTTAGTATTTACAAACCATTCTTAGTTCACAATTATGACCAACAATTGAATGCGGGTTTAATCTGTTTCATCTTAATTAGTGTTGCAGCTAATTGGAAAATTTAAAATCATAATTAACCTCAACCATTGTCAAGTCCTTGTTAATGAAATTGAAAGATTTACACAAAAAATAAAATAAAATGGTTCAACTTGAAAAGTGTGATTCTTTACCAAACCTTATAATGGAAAAGGTAAATTGGTCAAGAATCAATCTTAAATACTGTTTTCAATCAACCAATTTGTCAGATTTAAAGCTCATTTCAATATATTACAAATGACAGTAAAATTAAACATTAAAATACAATTTTTTCCCATTTTATTCCCAATTTTCCAGCAACATTGGAAAGACTAATCTCATGAAATGACGCATTCCGAAAAATCGATAGTAAAATGTTTACACATTTGAAAAATGAATTTGAAAATTAAAAAGCAATCATTGAGTAATCAAAGCATATTTCATCAATTTAAGTCAAACTCAATGTTAACGAGCGTTATAAATGACTTTAAATGTTAAAATTGTTTCAAAATAGCTCAATATCTGCTTGAGGCTATTTTATGGTCATTCCCATTTGCTAACACTTGTTTCAATTTCAGTTTTACCCCGTTCAACGCACACAGTAAAACCTGATTCCTGTTTATCATCTTCTCTGGTTTATAAACCTTGGTTATTAATTTGGGGAAACTAGAAGATGACTTTCATTGAATCCTTCACTTGGTGAGTTGAAGCAACAATTGAGAAAATCTTTAGTACAGAATAATCTTCACCTTTAATCATGACAAAATCCATACTTTTTGCCCTTTTAAGTTTCATTTTTATTGTTTCTGTGAACGGTGAACTCAATCATCTTCAATCATGGCAAACACTTTGGACTATAAGTGAATCAGCTACTAATAGATTGTCAAGTTTATTAGATAATCAGTTGACTCCGGTAATTAGTTCAGCAAAAATTTCAAGTTCCTGTCAACAATCACTATTCAAAGTCATCAATGGAATCAAACAATTTGACATTAACTATGTTAGAAGTAAGTACCAATTTTAGGTAACAATTAACCCAATACGAATAAATTCAATTTCATTTTCAATCCTGCCGCAAATATCATTTTAAATAGTTTTTAAGAGTTTTCTGGTTGTTTTAAGAACAGAAATCAAATAAAATCCAAACATGATTAGGTAAATTGAAATGAAATTGTATTAATTATCACAATCCATAAAAGTACACAAAAAATTAACCTCTTTTAATGATTGACAATTGTGTTTATGATTTGTTCAAATTGTATTGAAATGAGTTGAGTTTTAATCATTTATTTTTTAACTTGTGCCTAAAGTGTATGATTCATGGGGGAAACTGCCATCTGGATTATTATTTGGATCCTGGACTGATCTAGGATCACTTGATCAATGTGTATCACTTGAGGAAAGCCAATATTGTCTTTTGACTGCGTCAATGCCATTGCCACCAAAACGTTCAGCTGAAGGTTTATTTCGCCCATTGGATAAATCATCATTCAATTTAACTGACCCATTATCAACTTATTTATATCCTCATGTCCATTATTTTCACAATGTTAATCTAACGTTTGGCCTTTGTTTACCTCGTCAGTGTTCACCTCTAGAAATGACAACAATAGTTGAATCATGGGTTCATTCAAAGGGTCTTCAAATGAAAGTGGATGTTGATTTATGTCAACATCGTGCCAAATCAGGAAATCCCATATTATTCCGTGAATACATCGCTTTGGCTATTGTTACAACAGTTATTGGTTTAAACATAATTGGAACCCTTTTTCCAAGTCATCCTATCTTGGGTCATTTCAATTTATACCTCAACTGGTCCAAGCTTTTCTCAACAAACAACAATGAAAACACCCGATCTTACCCATTTCTTGAGTGCTACAAATTTTTTGCCATGCTTTACATCGTTATTGGCCATGTTGGTTGGGCTTTAAATTACGGCTCGTTCCATTCAATGTTCAAAGTTCAAGCATCTTACAATTCATTTTTGGGTTACTCTTTGTTACCAGGTTATCTGGCATCAGAGGTTTACTTTTTGATTACTGGACTTGAATTGATGACATTTTTCCTCAACTTTAACGGACAGTTTACTCTTTATTCAGCAATCACTTTCCTTGTGGTCCGATGGGCTCGTTTCTTTGTTCTCATCGGTTTTAACGTCTGTCTTTATATTTTAATCTTTTCTAACCATGTTCGTGACTTGATTGGCGGACCTTTCTGGTCTCACCTTTATTCAGCTTCCTCCATACCCGATACATGTGCGGAACGTTGGTACAGTCATCTATTTTTATACACTCACCTATTTGCTGATCCAGATAATTGGAATCTATGTATTATGCCTGATTGGTTCCTTCAAGTTGATTTTGTCTTGGCATTTCTATTTCTTATAGTCCTTTGGCCACTAAGAAAGTCTTACAAGCGTCTATCAATTTCACTGGCAATATTTTTTGCCCTGTTAGGACCTTTGTTATTGGGTTCAATTATTTATTATAAATCAACTTCACCAACTTGGTTACCATTCAACTTTGTCAACCAGGAATTAGCCGAGTATCTTGCTTTTATACACTCTAAACCATTTACACATATGAGTCCTTATTTTGTTGGTATTTTACTTGCATTCGCATTGCAACCAAAGGAGCCAATTATAAGTAAACAGGTAAATTTAATTTAATGATGACTGATGATTTTTGATATAAAACTCCTTTGAATCGATTCATTGAAATTAATACAAATTTTTCTTGACCAATAGATTCACAAGCGTCTCATGTGGCTTCTCTGGTTGGTTTGTAACTTCATCGTTTTTGGTTATGAAGTTGTAACTAATTACAACTTAGTATCACTCCCTTATGCCGTTGACATCATTTATGCAAGCTTTTCACGATTGGTATGGTCAATTGTGTATGCCTGGCCGATGTATTGTCTTCACTATAGATTTGTTTCTGATGGTTTATATCGTTTCACCTGTGCTGGTTTCTTTAAGCCAATGTCAAGAATCAATTTAACACTTTTATTTATGAATGAAATTATGCTCCGATTAAGAAATGGAACGCAAAATTATGTTTCTAATTTAACAGTTTTCGATATTCTGGTCAATCTATCGGCTCCAGTCGTACTATTTTCGTATCTGTTTTCCATTATTATCTCACCAATGATTGATGGTCCTTCAATCAGCCTAGTTAAGAGTTATTTTAAAAGGCAAGAGGATTATGACGATTGCATGAAAAAATCATCTGTAAATAATAATAATAATACAGTAATGTCAAATGGATTAGTTAATGGTAAAAAAAATAATTAATATTGTATTATAACTTCTATATGTAATTTAAAGATTGTAAAATCTCTTGTATAATTTATTTCAAATCCTGATTCAAATGTAATAAATTTCAGCCTAAAATTGAAATTCAAAGACATTTTTTATAATGCTCGTTCCAGTTACTATCTAAATTTGACGAAATTTTGATCGTCGGATTCGGCTTTCAACCAGAAATACTGGATAGTAAAATTAGCACCGACAGATGGCGTTGTGTTAAATTACAGTATGTAAAGGAAAGTAAGCTACCAGATAATACCAGAATCTGGTAACAACAATTTAACTGTTGTTATCAATGTTAAGCTTGTTTTTGATTCTGTTTGGATCCATAATTTGTGTTTATTGATTGTCAGTCTAATGGTCACGATCAATCAGTTTGTAAATTTTGTAATCAATAGGGACAATTAAGGTGTTTCTTTGATGATTCAATGATGTACTGATAATTTGCGAAAGTGCAGTTACATGTGATTTTGGTTTCTTCATGTTGTTTATTGTTTCAACTTGGATCACTGATCAATCAAAAGGCCAGTTTTAATACAAGTTTCAAATTGAAAAGGTAAAGCAATATTTCTATTAACTGTAATCACATAATCCAAGTGTTTAACTCGTGATTAATTATCTAACCAAGTGTAATAATTCAGGGACGTTGACTGATGGATAAAGCTGCTGTTGCAAGTATTTGTTTGAACCGTTAAAGATGAAGATCCAATCAATGAATAATCATAATGATAATTTTATTTAAAGTGAAAATGCATTTCATTCTCCAGAATTTGTTCAAACCAATATGTCATAATCACTAATTTGCAATTTTTTTCTCTTTCTTACAGTCAAATCATTTTCAGTAAACTGCCAATCTGAATATATTCATCCAGTGCTTCCTCAAGCTGCTGCTCTGGTTGCCGAAAGTTTCACCTCGGAAACTGCACTGCCTACAGTTACTGCACTGCCTATTAATAACAAACAAACGTAACATAACAAATTACCACCTGATATTTAAATTAACCTTTTTCATTTTTCTTTAAACTTTAAGACGATGAACTTCAGGATGAAGATCTTGATCCAGAGGAAATGAATGATGATCGCAACTAGACTCTCGCCCATTCGTGTGGTCGAGTCAATGTCTGAAAAAATAGAGAAAACTATCTTTGATAAATAGTTCGATCTTACAAATGTTAGCTGGACTTTTTAATTTCAAACTCCACATCTCCCATGAATGATAAAACTTCACATAATCCAACGTTTCCATTCAAAATTCATCTCATTTTTTCTAGTGACTTGAAGATTGAGTCTAACCACTTTCCTGAAATCATTTTTACACTAAAAGACAAAGTATTCACCAATCTTGATAATCTTTAATTTCATCTTATTCATTGGAGTCTAATCTAAATCGTTTCCTAAATATTTTCTCATCTGTGCACTTTTTAATGCATAGAATTACAAAATTTATCAAATCATGATGACGAATTCCGAGTGCATATTATAAATGGAAAATAACATCAAAATAGGAAAAATCTTGAAGTGAAATCATTTAATTTATGGTAAAATAATGCCATCTTGTTGATTTTGATTAATTTAAGCAATATTTTTTTGCTTTTCATGATTAACGAAACTAGAATTATTAATTTGACTTGCGAAGCCAAATAATTTGATTTTATGGTCTGACTTTTTTTACAATTTAACGTTTTTTGAAAATTCAATCAATTCTGTGGTTACTTCCTTATATCATTTGATTGTAATTTCATTCGTCTGGACTTTTGAAAAGGATGCTTTGAAATGTGTAACATGAGTATAATTTTGGTGGTTCCTGAAGGTAAATCACCTTGATAAAGCTCTAAATCAAGCTCCAATTTAGCCAATTGTTCACCTTTAAGAGGTTTAATCAACGAGATTATGGCTTCATTATAAGCTGATGCTAAATGAAAATCATCTCTAACAGCAGGCTCAGTTGAATTATCAGCTTCAATCGATGTTACATTCAATTTGAACAGCACTTCTGACCCTGGTATAAGGGGTCCTCTAGCCGTGAATAAAGCCAGTTTACCAGAAGATGGAATCAAGACATCAGAGGGAAGGGAAATATAGCTATAAGAATAAGATAAAGGTTTCTTGTAAATCTCGTAGCATTGATCACCAACACATTGAACGGCTTTTCGTGGCTTCTTGCATCGACTGAATGATAGGATAAAATAAGGCAAAAAACAATAATTAGTCTCATTGAAACAATAAAAATTGAAAAATTTATAATAAGAATGAGAATGGTTTTAATGGCAGCAACCAGAAATGGGTTAAAAGCAAATACTTAAAAGAAATTGTTCAAACTAATCAACCAATACTCGAGGTCTATTTATAAATTGAAACAGATCAATAGGGATAAAGTGAATCAGATAAACTGTTAATGGTAATGGTAATCGATGAGTGGAAATCAATAACTGGTTTCTAAGATTGAATATGTTATTGGGAAAGCAATTCAAGGCTAATAATTATATCACAATATTTTTAAAATGTAATACTCACTGCGTATGGGCTACATCTCTGATATAACCTTCTGGGCAGTCTTGATTGAAACATTTGTAACCTCCAATTGTGTTTAAACAAATTGATTCCCCACAAGGTTTATTGCGTTCACACTCATTGATATCATCACAGAACCTATTATCGCGAGCTTGAAATCCTTCTGGACATGAACAAACGTATGAACCTTCAGTGTTATTACATCGACCTTCACAGAAGAATGCCATTTTGGCAATGTTTTCAGCACACTCATCAATATCAATGCATGTCTTTTCATCGTCAGCTAACCTGTAACCTAAAGTGAGAAAAAAAGGAGAGAAAATTATTAGTTAATTTTTAAAAGGATGGTGAAAAGATTTAATTTAACCAATATTAGACGTACCAGGTGAACAAGAGCAAATATATGAGCCTTGAGTGTTGATGCACTTATGTGGACAAACCCAGGGAGTCTCTTCACATTCATCAATATCGACACAGCCAAATATCGAATAAGACGGTTTACGGTAACCCTTTTGGCAGATACAATCAAATGAGTCTTGCTTGTTGACGCAAATTGAATTTACTGGACAAACTTCAGAACCATATTTTGAACACTCGTCTATATCAACACATCGTTGGTATTCATCCAATTGTTGTCCCATTGGACATAAACATGAAAATGATCGATACTTATTGATACAGGTTTGACCCGAAAGACAGTTGTGTCTTCCTTCTGAACATTCATCAATATCGCGACAAGTATTACTGTTAGCATCATAACGGAGACCACTTTCACAAACTGAGCGACATTGATAAGTACCAACCAAATTGACACATGTATGGCCAGGTGGACAGCGCTCTGGAATAAGGCATTCGTCGATATCTTCACATGTACCTAAGCTGTTTCGCTCAAATCCATTTGGACATTGAATTGATTGGCATGTTCCATCAGGTTGCAGATTCTGACCTGGTGGACATGCTATTCGAGTGCATCGATAGGTTCCTGGTGTGTTGATACACTTGAACATTACCGATGAGCCACATATTGTTGGGGTTAACTCACATTCATCAATGTCATCACAATTATCTGATGTTAAATTGTAAGCATAACCAGTTCCACATTCATTTTTTCTTATGCACAAATATGATCCCTGTACATTGAAACATCTGTGTGTATCGGGACAAAGAGTGAAGTCAACGCATTCGTCGATATCTTCACACAGTCCGGTATCAATGTTACGATTATAACCTCGATCACAGTTTCCTGATTGCAACCGGTCAATTCGTGGACGACATTCATAGGAACCAGGAATATTGATACAATCTTCAACTGATGGTTTACATCGATGCATTCCAATCAAACACTCATCGATATCAATGCACTGGGAATTTATTGATCGATAACCAGCTGGACACTGAGATGGATCCACTTTGGGTGATTGCCGTTCACATCGATATGAGCCAAGTATATTGACACAAGTCTCCAACGTTGAATGACAAACAGGAGGCTCAAGTTCACATTCATCCATATCAATACATCCGGAGCTACTTCTGGTTAATCCTGGTGGACAAGGAGCTTGTGATGATAAATACTGATTGAATCTTGATAGTTGGTGTATTGGTTTATTAGTACAATTGTACGAGCCAAGTTGATTGTTACAACTTTGCCATGGAGCACAAGCTCTGTCAAGCTCTACACACTCATTTATATCTACACATGATGACCCAGAGGGATTCAACTTGTAACCTTGATTACATTTACATCTTTCGTTTGAGTCGAGATAACCATTTTCACAGACGCTTTTTGTTTCTGATGTATCTGTTTCACGTTCACGAGAATCATCTCTGGGTGATTTTGACTCTGCTTGACAGCATTCAGTAAACGATTTTATCCAATTTTTAGTAAAATTTAGACTTGCTGTTAGTAAACAAGATCTTCCTTCTTCTCGAGCAATAGATCCCAGTTTACATGCTTGACAACATTCATAAACAGCACTTGAATGTTCAGTATAACGAGGTAAGTTGATGGATGGGGTACACTTTTCGGTCGATGATTGAGCCAGTGATTTGCCATGGTCACAGTTGACTGATTGATGACGAGCCGAGCAGCAGAGACTAAAAGTTATCTCACAGTCTGTAAAATATCCATTTGTGACATTAAGACTAGATAAAAGAGTTGGGTTACTTGTTGAGCAGCCAATTGAAGGCCAACGATCTGCAAAATCTTGTCCTAGTTTGCAGCAATCGATAATAGTCCTTTCATAATCTGCAAAGATATCAAAGATCAGTTCACCGGGGTAAAAGGTTAAAATTAATTTAATCACCAACAGGCATAAATAATGCTTTAAAAAATAACAATAATGGTAACAATTTGGGTTTACCTTGTGTTGAATAGCCTTTCGATATTAAGACTGTTGTCACCAATAGCTTGATAATCCAGATCATCTTTAAGGGTTTCCAGTAAATACTTTTGATCAAATTGATCAGTAAATTCGCCATACTTATTACTTTTGATTTGAAGTGTAATTTAACTTTATCTCTGTTGATAGCTTATCATAAGTAAACAAAATTAGTCAATTGAAATAAAATAAAAACAAAAAAAGTAGACCCTGAATTATGAAGCGCAATTAAAACCAAAGCCTATGCAATTATTTTTCTTTTTTTTACTCACCATATTTCTGGATTTTCTTATACCAGGCCAATCAAGGGAAATGTTGAAACCCTTTAACCACAAGATAATCCTGTATCAATCAGTTGCCAAGTAAACAGTTTAAAGATTGACACTTGCACAATTGAATATTGATTAATAAAAATGATGATAAAAGTAAAAGAGTGGTGATTGTAGGTGATGCCATTCTCGAAACATCGAGGCTCAAAGTTTTAAGGCTAATGGCCAAAATCAAGAGAACTACTCATAAACTGAAAAAAGTTGCATCAACATGGATCAAGCATTCAGTTCAAATTGTCCCATCAACACGATTTCACTGGTAAAATGTCTCTTCAATTGTATCACACCACTTTCTCTCCACCATCCAGAGTTGTCCGAATCATAGTAAAACAACTTGGAATCAATGCCGAAGAAAAAGAAGTCAGTTTATTGACTGGTGAACATATGAAACCAGAATTTCTCAGTGTAAGTAAACTTTACTTTGAGTTTGTCACTTTCATTCATTTCAGTTTGGAAGAGTTTCAATCATCACAGTCGACAATATGTTTTAATGTTTTCATCTATTATTTTTCGTTTGTTTCAATCTCTTTTTGGGTTTCATTATCCATAGATAGGTTGACGATGGATTCGCACTTTGGGAAAGGTAAGAATCAATTGAAAGTTTTTTGTTTTGAGCAACTTATTGATGAATTGTCTTGCAATTTTCACATAACTCTAGTCGCTCCATCATCACCTACCTTGTGGACAAACTTGCTCCTGGAAACTCAATTTATCCAACTGAATTACAAGCTCGAGCAATAGTCAACCGTTGGTTATTCTGGGATGCAGGAATAATTTTCAAAATGATCAACCGTCGATTCCCTTCAATCCGAACACCATTTGGTTGTTATTAATGAAACTTTAATGGTTAATTGCAAAAAATTAATCCTTAATAATGTATCATGTAATTAAATCTATTATTCATCAATTGAAAGAGTTAAATATTGATTTCCAATCAAACAATATAAAAGCAATAATTGAAAAGTGTTACATTACAGTAGCTAAAGGAACAGATTTGATGAAAAATTTATCGTCTAAATTAATGAAACTAATATTTCCATAAACATTAGCATTAATCTATGATACCATTTCAATTGTAACAAATATTTTTGAAGGAATAACAATAGAAATACAGAAAATTTTGAACTTGTTAGCAATTTATCCATATATTGATGAATTCAGTGAATACAAAAGTTATCCTAAATGGTTGATAATCATTACTTTAGGAGTTTTATCATTTTTATTACATGGACTTCACAGTTGTTATTGGTCATTTATTTATTTGTGTCACTTTGAATCCACCTTTACATCAATAACCAAATGCCTCTATGATATTCACTATGATTTACCCTTGTATTAACTTTCAATTTAACAAGCTAGACAATAAAATTATCATCAACAGAAGGCTTTATGTTTAAACAGTGTTTTTCACTGGCATAATTAAATTGAAAGTTTAATTTGTTTATTTTTTGTTTATTACTAGTGTTTAAATGTCTTTTGAATACTTAAATCACCTGGTGATATCATCAAATAGTTTAATTTTCACTATTTGTATCAAAAACAAGGTAAGTCTGTGGCTTTCAATATTCTTGGTTCGAAAAGCGCCCTTTATTGTCGATCGGTATGCATAGATTAATAAGAAAGCAATGGCATGAACCCATTGCGATGAGCCTTTTTGTTTCACTCGTTTTGTTTTGTGTACTCATTACAATACTTTACATTTAAAAAATTGAATTTTGATTCTGTTTTTTTTAATTTAATTTACTAACCGAAAGATTTCGAGACAATTAAACACTCATAAAACCTAATTGTATTATGATAAAAATATTAACTTTAATCGGATGACCTGGGCACTTCCCTCATAAGTTTATTGATTGTATACTTTAATTTCATTTATTAATTTAATTATTGTAATTTTGTAAAGCTTTTGTACTTCCCTCCTTGATGGTTGTCCATGCCGTCTAGTGGGGCATTCACAAGTTACTTTTCACTTATCGAGAGTAACCGTTTGGGAGAGCGGTATTCTTTATTACCGTAATTGGGTGAAAAGACAACAAACTAGATTTTTACTTCTGATTGTCAAACCAAGGTAGCTGGGAACCTTCACTACACCTAAATTGTTCTAGTATTTTGATAACTGTTTTTGGTCAATTAGTTATACATTATATTTGCTATTAGATTTTTTGACTGTATCAAATCTTTATAGTTATCAGTTTTTTTTACTTTGGTGCAATTTAGAGGAGAACTGATCAAACATGGGTTCTCTTTTGAGAAGTGAAGAGATGAGCCTTTGCCAGCTATTTCTTCAATCAGAAGCCTCTTATCTGTGTGTTGCCGAACTAGGTGAACTTGGACTTGTACAGTTCCGTGATGTAAGGCCTTTGGTATACCTAAGTCAGTTTGTAAACTCTAATGATTTATATTTTTTCATTGTACAGCTTAATCCTGATGTTAATGCATTCCAAAGAAAATTTGTCCTTGAAGTTCGCCGTTGTGATGAAATGGAAAGAAAATTAAGTATGTCAAAATTTGACTTTACATCAAGTCTTATAGTGTCCTACTATTCAAGTTTCAACTGGTTTTTACTCATTCTTTCATCTCCGTCTTGTAGGGGTACTTGAAAAAGAGATTAAAAAAGATGAAATTCCAATGTCAGATATGGGTGATGTTCCAGAGGCGCCTTTACCGAGAATGATGATTGAATTGGAAACAACATTTGAGAAGCTTGAAAATGAACTGAAAGAAGTCAACGCTAATGCTGAAGCATTGAAAAAAACCTACCTTGAACTGACGGAATTGAAGCATATTTTACAGAAGACTCAACAATTCTTCGATGAGGTATTTCAATCAAGTTGACCAAGCTTTTCCCTTTCTCCCTAGTATCATACATGCATCTCCTTATCGTAATATCCATTTGCACATTCCACCATTTCCTTTCACATCCTACCTATCCAAAATTTACTCCTGTCATTTTCCTTCACTTGATTCACAATCAGTCCAAGAAAAGACCTTTGTTTGCTAATACTATTACCCACCGTATATGTTATTGCTAGCTACTTGTTTTAATAGGTACTTATCAGAAGTCTTGAAACTCTTACGCTTGAGACTGTTTTTTAATTTTGTTACGCTCATTTATAAATCATTTACCATTAACCACATTTATCAATTAATCTTCGAGCAATTCTTGTTATGATTATTTTTATTTTTGCTTCCGCAAAACTTCCTTGCATTTTAAAAGAATCTCTTTTTGTGCTATGTTTACTAACTTTTCTGACATTTAATTTCCGTAACACTAAATTTTGCACTTACAAATACCCAATGCACCCACAAATTTGATCATCCCTTACTCCCTCCCATTTGTTACCTTTCATATTATCGTACTATCTGTAAATGCTGATTATGAGGGTGGAATATTACACCATACAGATTCAAGAATCAGGAATGGGTGACGAGTCAACTCAATTACTCGGCGAAGAAGGAATACGTGTTGGTGGTCAGGCCGCAATGAAGTTAGGGTATGTTGAAGTCTCTACATCCATGGAGTTGACAACTATTATCTTTCTGGTACCCAATCGTTATCTGTTGGCTCACATTAGTGCTTATAATTTTATGTTGCCTAGCTTTTGCATATTACCAGATTAGTTAATAACCAAGATGAAATTACAGCCTTTATGCTATTCCTTTTGCTTTTTATGTTTGCATTATTTTATTTTCAAAATATTAACTTTATTTATTTTATGTTCAACATTACGAACCTTAGCAATCTTCTGATAAAGGTGTGAGGAGGTTTAGTGAGGTTCAATATTTTAACACGGCGATGAATTCATATTTGAGTGCTGAAGGAGCTCCTGAGCGTTTCACAACCGATTTGGGGTATGATTGAATTAATCGATGATTTAAATTTGCATATGGTCCAGAATACGATGCGATCTTCTCGTCATTCTTCAATATTTTCAAAGTTTCAATATAATCCTTACACTTTTCTTTTTGTATTGCAACTTATCTCTTAGATTTTTAGCTGGAGTTATTTTACGAGAACGTATTCCTGCTTTCGAAAGGATGCTTTGGAGAGTTTGTCTGGGTAATGTCTTCCTTCGTCAAGCTGAAATCGAAAAGCCACTTGAAGATCCAGTTACAGGGGACAATGTATACAAATCTGTATTCATTATCTTCTTCCAAGGAGAGCAGCTGAAATCGCGAGTCAAAAAAATCTGTGAAGGATTCAGAGCCACTCTTTACCCCTGTCCGGATACTGCTGCTGACAGAAGAGAAATGATTGCCGGTGTTGTCTCAAGAATCGAAGAACTTAGCACTGTTCTTAAACAAACAAATGAACATCGTCATCGTGTCTTAGTTGCTGCAGCAAAACATATCAAAGATTGGATTATTAAAGTCAAAAAGATCAAAGCTATCTATTTAACTTTGAATATGTTTAATCTTGATCTAACAAGAAAATGTTTAATTGCTGAATGTTGGTGTCCAGTGGATGATTTAGAGCGAATCCATATGGCATTGAGACGAGGTACAGAAAGAAGTGGATCATCTGTACCGTCCATTCTCAATCGAATGGATACCAAAGAAACACCGCCAACTTTTAATCGTACAAATAAGTTCACTCAAGGATTTCAAAATATAGTAGATGCTTATGGTGTGGCTGCTTATCGTGAAGTTAATCCCGCTCCATTTTCAATAATTTCATTTCCATTCTTATTTGCTGTTATGTTTGGAGATGCTGGTCATGGTTTACTAATGTTTCTTTTTGCTCTTTGGATGTGTTTAAAAGAGCAATCGATTGCAGTCCAGGCTAAGGGTAACGAAATATTTAAAACATTCTTTGGTGGACGATATTTGATTTTGTTGATGGGTCTCTTTTCAATATATACTGGTTTCATTTATAATGATATTTTCTCTAAGTCATTGAACATTTTCGGATCGTCATGGAAAGCAACAACATTGCCTAAAACAGGACTTTACCCAGAAAATATGATGTTGGACCCACTAACACAATACTCCGATAAGCCTTATTGGTTTGGAATTGATCCTGTTTGGCAAGTCTCTGGGAATAAAATTTTATATCTCAACTCTTACAAAATGAAACTTTCTATTCTTCTTGGAGTAATGCAAATGTTGTTTGGGCTTGTTCTCGGCTACTATAACCACCGTTATTTTGGAAATCGTATCAATATTGTGTGTGAATTTGTTCCCCAAGTTATCTTCATGTTATCAATTTTTGGATATCTTGATCTTTTAATTTTAGCTAAATGGGTTACAATTGATGCTAAAGACTCCAGCTGTGCTCCATCAATTTTGATTACATTAATCAATATGTTTCTTTACAAATATCCAGATTCACCTTGTTCAGCGTTACCCATGTACTGGGGTCAACAATTCATTCAGACAGTCCTTTTGATACTTACACTCCTATGTATTCCCTGGATGTTATGTATCAAACCATACTTTTTAAAGAAGCAAAATGATCTTCGTATGCTTTCATCTATGCATTCATCTAATGGTGAAAATCACAATGCTTATAATGCCGATGGTGAAGTAGCAGTTACAATGGAGAGTTCAGGTGCTGCGGCTGAAGGTGAAGGAGGTGGTCATGGTCATGATGGTCCTTTTGATCTTGGAGACACAATTATTCATCAAGTGATTCACACTATCGAAGCTTGTCTTGGATCTATTTCTCATACAGCATCATATCTTCGATTATGGGCTTTGAGTTTAGCTCACGCTCAATTGAGTGAAGTTCTATGGAGTATGGTTCTTAATAAAGGTTTGACAATAGCTGGAAAATTTCCTGGAGGTATCATCATGTATTTAGCATTTGGATTCTGGGCAATTTTAACGGTATCTGTTTTATTATTGATGGAAGGTTTGAGTGCTTTCCTTCACGCTCTTAGGTTACATTGGGTAGAATTTCAAAGCAAATTCTATTCAGGATCTGGTTATATTTTTGCACCATTTTCTTTTGAAACTATTCTTAATAATGAAGGTGACGAAGTCAGCTCTTGATTTCACTTCATTCTTTCATAATAACTAAGAATTCTGGTCTCAATTTTTGTTCTGTTTTGCTTATTCTCGTCTTTTTCATTATTTGTCTCTACCATTTTTTAACTGTATTATTTATTCAAGAGATTGAAAATGAAATCAAGAAAATTTATGTACGAATCAAGATTAAAAAAAATCATTTTGATCAATATTTTACCGTTTCACATTCACTCAACGTCCAATATATTGAAGTTTGACTTTAAATTTTTATAAAATTTTTTATTTTGATAAATTACAATCACAAGCTAGATGATATTTACTCCTTTTATGTTAGTTTCATCTAACTCTATTTAATTTAAACAAGTGAATTTGGTGACTTGCGATTTGATGCGGTATACAAAAAAACATAGGAAAAATTGACTTGTTTCAATGAAATGACTTTAAAAAAGGCTTCCCTTAAGACCGATTACTTTTCCAATCGTTTGTAATCTGCTTAAGCCATTCATTTTAGCTGGATAATGATTATTAGTTGATGTTGATGAGTAAACAATCCGTTCATTAATAGGCTGTAATTGTCTTGTAACAGTACCCATTTCAATGGTGCATTTTTTATCTTGAAAAAGTTTCCTGAACTTATTAATCTGAAATTGTCAATCAAAGTCAAACAATCAGGTAAAATAAAAAAGCGTAAAAATAAGAATAAAACAACAATTAATTAAAGGCTCGTTCATTTCGTTTTCATTTTCAAATAAACAAACCTGTTTTCTTCCTATGTTCTGTGAATTTTTGAAAACAATCCATGTAACTGATTCAGAGCACGGTGGTGTGGTGAGAGATCCTTGATATTGGTAATATTTACCAAAATTTGAAGGTAAAAGTTGTAACAAATTCAATCGAGATCCAAGCTCATATCGCAATCCTCCACATCTGATCTTATCTAATTTCCTGACAATATCTTCTAAGGCTGGGTTATTACTTTCGGATATCTGTGAAATTAAAATTAAAATTGAAAAATAAATTAATTGATTAAACTCTAATAAAATCGTCAAAAAACAATAAAATGAGTTGGATCGATAAACTCATTAGGTTGATATTTTCTTGAAGGTTTTCTTTCGTGGAAATATAATGAATGTCAATTCAACTAATTGTGATTAGATTGAAATGAAACGGAAATGATGAGTATGGACAATTAAACACTGTTTATATTGTGTGTAAAGGGTGATAAAGAATCACTATAATAAACATGTAAAGCCAATCATCCATAAATCTTTTCAAGAATAATAATCAATCTAAGGACGATGATTGATGAACGAAGACTTTTCATGATTTGAATGTGTTGATGGAGAATGGTGTTTCATTCAATGTTATCAAAATTATGAGAAATCAAGCAATCGCGTGAATTCACAATACTCATAATTGTGAATATGATTGATCATTCCAAGAATTTATATTTCACCTTAAATAATGTTGCTAAAACAACCAAGCCATCGACTTTTGTTGACGCTTCATTAAAATCCTTATATTTTTGGTTGTAATGCACAAAATGCATCTTGACAAGGTAGATAAATAGAGAGAAAAATCAAATATTAGATTAGTTTAAAATTGTAGATTCGGTTAATCAATTATTATAAAGTATGTAGTTACCTCCATATCATAACGTTGGTTATTTATTGCATGTTCGGACCCTTGTTCAGCTTCGACTCCCCAATGAAAGTGCAGTTGAGTGAAATGAAAGGCTTCATTGTCAACAAAAGGTCCTGTTACCAATGGTCCTTTACCTTCAGATATCGCGAGCTCAACTGTGGGTCAAAAAATTAATAATGCAAATGTTATTAAAGGATGATTAGATTTTTCGTGGCAAATCTTGAAAATGAACGGTTAATCCTAAATATTGGCAGTTAAAGGGTAAATAACCTTTCATAATCTAACTATTGGTTAAGATGTACTTCATAAACTTGATGAAAGAACTGAATATGAACTAATCTACTTGTATTAGATCGGAAACTTTTCAAGAGTAAAAGTTTACTGTAACTCTGGTTGAAATTCATATCTGTTAACCGGTCGATTAGTTAATTTGAGTTAATAGCTAATTGTTTTTCTAAAGTTCAGTAATTATAAGTTCAGTTCAGTTGATAATTGATAAGCTAATAATTTATGTTTCTATTGCCTAACTAATTTTAATAATTGAAACAAAATAGAAAATTGATCTCAAACTATCAAGAAGTTTGACTATAAAATGTCTCTCAATCAAACATGATGATTGAACAACAAGAAAATTCACAATATGGGCAATAAATTGAATCTCTCAAATAATCAGGTGTTATGAATAAAAGCAAAATAAATAAAACAGCTAAACGAGATTGTTATTTCATCAAGCAATCCCTCTCAATTGTTTCAAGTCACAAATTAATGAATAATAAAAAAGAGCAATGAATCGGTAAAAAGTTAACGAACCTGATCGTCCGGTGTTCTTGACTTCCATTTCTCGACAGCAAGCTTCATAACTGGGGTCAAAAAAAATTTCTGTAATATCATCTTTCTCCGTAAACTCGTCAATAATATTAATGGGTGATTGGTTATTACCACCACAATCTGGGTAAAAGCTTTCCCAATCTTCTTGTTCTGTTTTCACATGGGAAATTGAAAATATGGTGAATGAAAATTATGATAAAATTAAAAACAGTTTGATATAAAATAAGAACATTCAACATTACCTTGATAAGTCCAATTAGCAATGTCCACTGAGTCATTGATAAGAGTTAACCAATGAGGTAACAGAAAATGGCGGTTTAAATAAACAAAGAAAATAAAAGGTTAACACTTTTCAAAGAAGCATAATTTTTGCAACACAACACTTGCAACTTCTGATCCTTTTATTCAGTTTTTCTTACTTGCTGGTTTACGTTCTTTGTCTTCGTAATCAATCTTGTCGGGGTCTAATTTATCCTCTTCTTCGGAACTGTCTTCATCTTCAAAGCCTGTTGGCGGTTTGAAATTATTGTCTCCAATGTATTGGTTGTCCAACTCATACATGGGATAAATTGAAACTGGTATAATTAATGGTTCATCAGATGATTGCCCAAGCACAGCTCGGTACCAAACTAATTGACCAACAATTGATAGGATCACAGGTAAAATTTTAATCAACATTGACTTCAAAACTGATGACACAAGCGGATGAGCAAAACAAACTTGGTAAGTAAAAAAACGATAAATTACTAAAAATAATATAAAAGGGTGAAATGAAAATTGTTTTCACTTTTGTTGCTTATATTTTCAGCGTTTATCTGCTTTGTTGAATTGAAGAAACAAAAAACACACCAAAACAAATGTTGAAAAGTTCCGTTCGAGTTATCTTTTCTTAAATAAAGTGACGATTTTCATTATTTTTTTGTTTGAATTTACTCTTCCTTTCTAATTTTGATTTGTTTCACACTTTTACACCAATTAATAGATGGAGATGATGAAGATGGCAATGGCGATTATAAAGGTGATAGAGACAATTTTTATGCTGGAATAGATGTTGTGCAGGTGTTTGTCGTATCCAAATGAAATTTCGTAGCGTAAAAATCGTATCTAACAGTCAACTTTGGAACCAAAGGAGAGAAACAATGAAATATGAAGTTATGAAGCAAAAAAGTAATATGAAAAGGATTTAAAGAGTGGATAAGAAAGTGTTATAACAAAATATTTGGAGGAGGAGAAGGAAAACAAGTAGGAGGTATTGACGGTAATGATGATTTATGCAAGTTAAAGTACAATAGGCAATAATTGTTTGATAAACACTTAAAATCAACAAAATTAGAGTTAATTTTAGGATTATTTTGATCATAAAGTAGATTCAGGTTTTTTTTGTGTTGGTTTCAAGTTTCCATCTTGCGGCAAAAACTTTGATTAGCTTATTACAAAAAATATTTTCATGGACTAATGAATTATTGCAACTTGTTCTACTTGAAATTAAAAGTGAAACTGACTGATTAACTAATTAGTATTTATATCTTATTGCATATTTTCTTCATTGATTAGGTGCATAATGGGTGATACTTCTTTTGTCTCTGGTGCCAACCTTGAACTAACTTTGTCAGGATTTCCTGATGAACGGAATAGTGAAAAAAAAGGAAATTCATTTTGTGATTTATTAATTACCTGCTGCTGAAGAAATTTTCACAGATAATAATTGCCATTGTTGAGTAATTATAGCAGAAATAAACAGGATTTTCTTTGGTTGTCATCCTGGATTTCAAAGTGGCCAAGATTCAAATTACATGGAAATGTGTGAATAAGAAGCAACATCCAAAATTTCCCTTGCTATTTTTGACCATCATACTTCACGTTCACCAGATCTGGAAAGACCGGTTAATTTGGGTTGAAAGAGGCTCAGAACAATTCCAAGATGGGTATTTTCAGTAGGAGCAAGAATTGAATAAATCTGAATGTGTTGGGAAATTCAGAAATAGTACTAAATCATAAAGAAACTTAGTAACAAGTCATTCGAGCTCACTTAGGCCTAACAAATTTAGCGGATGCAAGAATTTAATCACTTAATCATTTTGATAGTTGCATATTGAAAGGTGTTAAATTATGTGAGTATTTCATTATAAATAGATAAATCTTTCGTATAATAATGAAATTAATTTCTATTAAACGATGCATTAAGAAAGCTGAACATTCTATTATTGAAATGTGCTTATTATTAAATTACTATTATTCAATGGGCAATCCATTTTTACTTTCTTCAATAACAATTATCACTTAAATTTAAATTGTTCATCATAAAGATTTTGTCAACCGTAGCCTTTGTCCGTGACCTTTACCTATTTTAATTAGGCGATAATCTTCTGAAAAGTACAGCAATTTGTCACCTTTAGCGATACAAGTTATTATCTAACCATATTGATGAAACAACGTTAATATACTTCAATTAGGAACCTTAATTTTTTGTACAATAATCGACTCAATCTTTAACATTTTAAAAACAATAATACATTTAGCATACCATTCTAATTATCATTGTTAGGTCATACACGTTTATCGAAGTGAAAAGCTGTCATTCTGCTTACCAATACGTGCTTATATCTATCATATGTTTCCCGTCAACTCTGAACTAGATTGGTTTCCAATCAAAAACATTTTGTTTTAATGAAATATGATTGTAAATATTTTTTGCTCATTGTTTAACAAATATAATTGATAAATAGTAACTGCGAAAAAACAACAAAGAAATGGATCATGACCGAGAAATTGATACATTTCTGCTACAATCAAAGTTATGAATGATAATAACAGCTAATTGAGCCTTTTTTCTTCAAGCATCCTCTAAAATTTATTAGCGATCAATGATAATTGTTCAAGCTCAATCTATCAAATTACGATCAATAATATTGTTTTGTTTCCATTGTATTAGGTTGTCCGGCTCAATGTGTCGGGACTTTTATTTTGAATATTTTATTCATTCCTGAATCAATTCAGTCAATTTTTTCTAAAATCGTGTAAGTAGAGATTCAGAATTTGTTTGACACATATTAAACCCTTTAGACATTGGTAATTCGAAAGTAATTCGAAAAAAATCGAAAAATGGCAATTTTGTAAATTTCGAACTTTGAGGCCACATAGCGTTGTTACTGATGAAAAATTTTTCATAGCCATTCAATTAAATTATAGTAATTGGGTTGATTAAAAATCACTTTTCTCAATTTTTATCCTGATCTCCAAGTTTTCGAGAAATGTTCGATCAAAAAAGTTTCTATCGCGAGAAAATCACAGGGGGGACCCTTAGTTTTTTAGAAAATTTTGAGCCTCACGAAATTTCATTTTTTTTATTTTTTCCCAATAAATTTCGAATTAGAAAACGGAGAATTATAAATCATGTGTCTGAAAAATTCTGCATCCTTCTTTATATGATTTTCAAAAGAATTGTTTTAATTGATTTGATTATCAATAAAATATTCACATTCAAAGTCCCGACACTCTGAGCCGGACAACCTAATAACTCATAAATATGTTGCCCCTAAAGATTAAATAAAACTATTATTAAGCTTACCAAAGCACAGTGGCTTTCCATCCAAAGAATTAAAGTCGGATTTACAATTTTTAATTGATTGACTAAATTAAGTTGATGAAATTTTTAATTGGCCTCAAAATGTTAAGATTTCAAGTTTTCTAAAATTTGAAATCTTCGCTTTTTATTCAGCAAATCAGAAGAAAGGATGAGCGCAAGGTTACTGAGAGTCTGTTGCAAAACCTTCACATTTCTTTATTATCTATGTTTACTACCTCTTACTATTAAAGTTAATCTTTTCACAACTTTTAATTAATTGTGTTTTCTGATTTTCCAATAAATCTGATTTGAATGAACCAATCTATTGCCAAATCTGTTATAATTAGTTTGTAAACTGTTGGTTTAAGTAAAGAAATATCAAGATGCATCTTACAAAGAGGTAAGAAGTTTCCATTCAATCTACGATTCTGTTTCCCTCTGTAATTCAATTACATTATTATATCTACATCTCAATCAACTTTAATTGTGTGTACTTATAATTATCAATCCATCTTTGCTTAGATTCATTCTCAATTAACTCAAGAAGAGCCCCCACAAAGGGAGTAGGATTATCATTAAAGTAAACAAAAATAACATCAGCAGCAACAACAAAGCAAACACCAAACGAAAACAAAGAAGTCAATTCTAAATTCCAGATAACCCGTTCTAAGGATCTTTCATAATTTATTGAGATAATCATTGGCTTTGTTATTATAATATGATAAAATGGACGAACCAACTCTTTACGAGAAATTTTGTGGTGAACCGCAATTCAATGTGTTCACTGGATATTCTCTTGATTATTGTTTCCTCCAGATGATAATTGAGATACCACTTCACTTCTTCATAGCTCTAGTCTCAACGTTATTGTTATCAACCCTCACAATTCCTGACCATGTTTATATAAAGCAAAATTGGCCCAAATGGGTTGCTCATGGCTTTAGGTTAATCCTAACTCTGACTGTGATAAACTTAATTCTTCTTGAATATTGGTCTCTACCTGATGGCAAACATCCTCCCGATATTGCTATAATTTCCATTGGAATCAAGATAATTGCTTGGTTCATGGTATCTCTTGTATCATATAGAATTATAAAATTCTCACCGTTAACCAAATTAGTCAACTTATCATCGCTCATGGTTCTCATGTTTTCAGCGCTTATTTCAAATGGGTTGCACCTTGACTGGGTTCTAAATAACCGCACCTTATCTTCATCGTATAGTCAATATACTACCATAATTGCTTCACTAGTTATAGCAATCAATCTAATATTTATTTTAACTTTATGGCCACGATTTAATCGATGGCGAATCTTCAAGGAGCAATTATACGATACTGACTTGCAGAATCTTCTCTCACAATCTCATCCAATGTCCACATCTTTTTCCGCATCTTTTTCCCTCGATAACCACCAAACTTGTAGTTTACCAAGTCGTTTCTTCTTTTATTGGGTAAACCCTTTACTTACCAAAGGATACAAGCAGAAGATCAAAAGTCACAACGATCTTTTTCCCTTACCTTCAAGTCTTTCAACAAATACATCTTATGAAAGGCTAATTCAACATATCGTACCGAATGAGTCTGGCTTAAATCATCCATACAACAAATTTAGCCTGGTTCTTTGGAAAAGTTTATTCAAAGCATTTGGGCGACCAGCCTTCATTACTGCATTTTTCAAAATTGTCGCTGATATCTTTTACTTTGGTGGCCCTTTGATCCTCGAAAGATTGATTCTCTATATTGAAGATGAAACTTCAACTCCTAGTAACGAAGGTTTTTATTACTGTGCTTTTCTTCTTGGCTCAACTCTTGTATCTTCTATTAGTATCAGTTTATACAACTTTCAATCCGCAAATATTTCCCTTAAAATAACGAGTAGCATAAGCAAACTACTCTATCGAAAGCTTTTGAATGTTCGCAGTGACTCGATGGCATCAACATTCAGCAGTGGTGAGATTATTAACTTTCTCAGCACAGATACTGGTCGAGTTACAAACTTTTATCCGTCAATGGTTGCTTTCCTTACTCTTCCATTGCAACTTGTGGTGACTTTATATTTACTCTATTCCCAGCTGGGTCTTGCATTTTTAGCCGGATTACTCCTTACGCTTATCATAATTCCAGTGAATAAAGTTATCTGCGATAAAATTGGTTCACTGAATGTTCATCTTCTCAAATGGAAAGACAAGCGAATCAAACTAATGTCAGAAATGTTAACAGGAATCCGTCTGGTCAAAATGCAAGCATGGGAAAATGTATTTGAAGCTGAGATCATAAAATTGAGAAACGAGGAAATGAAATACATGCGAAAGATTAAATATCTGGATGCTCTTTGTGTGTACTTTTGGGCTACAACACCGGTTCTTATTTCACTGTCAACTTTTGCCACTTATGTACTTCTTGGAAACCATTTAACTGCTTCTAGAGTATTCACAAGTCTGGCTCTGTTCAATATGTTGATTAATCCATTGAATGCTTTACCCTGGGTTCTAAATGGTCTGATAGAGGCTTGTATTTCTGCTAAACGAATCCAAAAATTTCTCGATATCAAAGAAATGAACCTTTCTACTCACTATACTGGATGTCTTAAGGGTGAAACAAAACTCAATAGTGTCGGTAGCTTTTTCAAAAGAGATACTATCACACTTGATCATCGATTCACACTCGGGCCTATAGATTTAATCGTCAAGTCAGGAGATTACGTTGGGATTGCGGGCTCCGTTGGCTCTGGTAAAAGCTCACTGTTTAGTGCTATTATTGGAGAAATGAGTAGAGCATCTGGAACTTTTCAAATAAATGATCATGATTTAATTAAAGGAATTGGATACGTGCCTCAGGACCCTTGGATTCAAAATACGTCTATAAGAGAAAACATTCTATTCGGCAGTATCTTTGATCCTATTAAATATAAATCTGTGATTGATGCCTGTGCTCTTGTTGAAGATTTCAAGGTAATTTTATCTATAAGTTATCACAGAACAATCTAATCATATTATAAACATTTGATTTTTCTTTCTCAATGATTTAGATTTTTCCAAATGGTGATGCCACAATAGTTGGGGACCGTGGAGTTACTTTAAGCGGTGGCCAAAAAGCTCGCATAGCACTTGCGAGAGCTGTTTACCAAGATTTTGATATTTATCTCCTTGATGATCCTTATTCTAGCGTTGATGCTCATGTTGCTGACCATATTAAAACTAAATGCATCGATGGTTTACTCTCATCTAAAACTAAGCTTCTTTCCACTCATCACACTGAATATCTTACCAATGCCCAGTTAATTGTTGTCATGGATAACGGGTTAATGATGGAAAAAGGGAACTCTGGTATACTTGCTTATGTTAAGCCCAAAGATACCGTTGCTTCAGTTCCTGACAAGAAAGAATTTTCAGAGTCTGTAGAAAGGGTGGAAAAACCTTCAGAAGAAGCAATGGAAAAGGGAACAGTTAAATTTGATATTTATCGTCATTATTGGAAATCTGTTGGTCCATGGCTTTCCCCATTCATCTTAATTCTTTTCACTTTCATGCAAATATCTCGAACTGCTTCAGACTGGTGGCTAAGTCATTGGACTACTGCGATCAAAAATTCAACTTCAAGTTTATCTGGAGCTGATACGTATCTCGGAGTTTTTGCTGGGATATCCATCATTAACTCGTTGTTTTCTCTATTTCGTGCATTTTTCTTTGCGTATGGAGGGATCGCCGCTTCTAAGGCTATCCATTCAATTTTGCTCAAAAGTACATTAACATCGACAATCTCATTTTTCGACACAACTGCATTTGGTAGAATCATTAATCGTTTTTCATCTGACATCACTAATGTCGATGATGGCTTACCTTTCAATTTAAATATACTTCTCAGCCAAATATTTGGTCTGGCAGCTTCTTTATTTATTACAATTTATGGTATTCCTTGGACTGCATTTGCTGTACTGCCTTTGTTTATCCCTTATTTTTTTATTCAGGTTAGTCATTCATTAATTATTGTTAACTTTAAATTCTAACGGATTAACACCTATTCTAGAAATATTATCGTTGGACTTCCCGAGATATGAAACGTCTTTGCGCTGTCAGTCTTTCACCAGTTTACCACCAATTAGCTGAAACCATTCAAGGTGTTAGCACTATCCGTGCTTTTGCTGCGACTTCAAGGTATTTAAAATGATTAAATGTGCGATTATGATTTAACAACTAAATTTATATTTATATTCGTATTTTTATAGGTTTATCACTGACTTTGTCGATAAAATTGATGTTTCAAATACTTGTCAATATGCATTTTCAGCTGCTTCACAATGGTTAAACATTCGCCTTCAGGTTCTTGGAGTCATTTTCTCTTGTGCGGTTGCACTAACCGCTGTTATTTTACATTACTTTGCTCTGGTTGAAGTTAATGCTGGACTTGTTGGTCTTGCGTTGGCCTATTCATTAACAATTACTGGGTTACTCAATGGTTTTGTTCAAACTTTTTCTCAAGTAGAAGTCGACATGATCTCAGTAGAAAGAATTCAACAATTTGTTCGGTCGATTGGTAAAGAAGATGATGATGGACATCGCCCTGAACATTGGCCAAATAAGGGAGAAATTATTTTTGAACAAGTTTCTCTTCGATACAAACCAGAATCACCTTTAGCCTTGAATCAAATAACAATAACGATTGAACCTCGTCAACACATCGGTATAATTGGGCGAACAGGGTCGGGAAAGTCAACTCTTCTTCAAACACTATTTAGACTGAAAGATCTCGAAAATGGTCGAATCATAATTGATGGAGTTGATATAAGTACTGTTAACGTTCGTCATCTCAGGTATGATTTTTAAATCCTTTACCAATCATTCACTATATGCTATCAATTATTTCTTTTATTCTGTTTTCCTAACTAGGTCTTCATTGTTCATCGTCCCTCAAGATAGTTACTTGTTCAGTGGCTCAATTCGTCATAACCTTGACCCTCTCCATCGGCATACAGATGATGAAATTTGGAAAGCATTAAGACAATGTCAAGCCGATTCTTTGGTTTTGAGTTTGGGAAGTCTTAATGCAATAATAAGTGAGAATGGACGTGACTTGAGCTTTGGTCAACGTCAGTTAATTTGTTTAACTCGAGCTTTGCTCAGTCGAGCAAAGATAATTTGTTTTGATGAAATAACTTCTTCCATTGATCGTGAAACTGATCAAGTACTAGAAAAGACAATTCGCTCAAGCTTTAAACATTCCACAATTTTGACTGTTGCTCACAAGATTGAAACCGTTCTCTACTGTGATCGAGTTTTACTCATGGAAGGAGGACGAATAATTGAAGACGGTAATCCGCAAAAATTGAAAATGAATACCAGCTCCAAGTTTTATAAACTTTGGTCTGCAATGAATGCGAAATGAACCATTTTCATTAGTAATTTGTAATACTTCAACCACCAATCTGTTTTTTCTAATATTATTTGCTTATATTGTTTTGTATACGTAGATGAACTAATTACCAGCATTTTTTCTTGTTACCAAATCACAATAAAGGTTAACTAAAATAAATTAAGTTTAATCAGTAGACATTCTTCTTCTTTAATATAATTCATCGTTTATTCACGTTGAAACACTTTGTTTTGAAAAGAAAGATTCAACTCTATTTGATTTACAAAAGGTTGAGTTGCATTTTAATTGTGATTGATTAATTGATCCGTAACCTTGAATAAGTAACCACAAATTCAAAGTAATCATCAGAAAAATAGAACAAGCGTCCCTTTAATTTTAATCATTGTGTTACAAATTAGCCAAATAATTAAATTAAATCATCGTCTGCCAATTGCCAAGCCCAGCATTTGAACATTTTCCTTAATTCCATCCTGAATTAAGTCGCAATTTTTCCTACTACCAGACAATTTGTAATCTATCGCTCATTCAAACAAACCTTTTTGATTAAGCTGACTCTTTGCCAGTAGCAGACAACAATCAGCTGTTGTAATTAAAATAACCCGAAACAAGAGCAAATAATTGACATGCTGAGATCAATGGGTTTAACAATCTAGCTTCAAGTTGGTAACCGAAACAGTCAAATGGTAGAGTTGAATTTGAATCAATTGAACTTTGATTTTCACAGCTCATACTGTGTTAACTATTAACGCTAACAATTGTATTCAATAATTTCAATTAATTTCCGTTTAATTATGAATTCAATCAATCAGAATCAATGTTGGTGTTAAAGGATAATGATTAAGCTTGATTGGTTGAAATGTGTTGGTGTTTTACCGTCCAAAGAAACCTAAAGTCCAACTGTTAACAGCTACAAACCCATTTCACCAACAAATATTCATGAATAATATGAATCAAAATTCAACTTAATATACAAAATAACAATCAAAACAATTTTATATTTTTATCTGACTCAAATAAAACAAAAGCTAGGTCATGGTATAGTCTTTAACTTATCCAAACCTTTTCAAAGTGGGAAGTGAGAAACAGTATTAAGACAAACCCAATTCAACAGTTAATCATTCTGATTGACAAAATTTCATTTATTGGTAAGCCAGAAAGTTCACTGACAATAGACAATCAAAATTACAAACTTGGCCATCAACTGGTCATTTACTTTATTCCATTAATCAATGTATTGTTGATTTTAGATGCACTTCAATGATAAACACTTTATTGTATCAAAAATTGTTGATCAATTTAGATTTCAAGTTTAATAGGTTCAAGGTGTTTGCTCATTGTTTATACAGTTAATGGATTGCTTTTAATGTTACTTTGTTCAGTTAATTGTTAGTCAACAAATTGCTCTTCTATTCTTTACCCATCGACACCAATTTTAAAAATGTTTGTTATCTCAAACAAAGCGCGTTTCAATCATTTTCAATGTGTAGGAACATCAATTATTACAGTAAGAAGGTTCGTGTGTTTGGGGAAATAATCATTCATGTTATACTTACTTGTTTACATTTTTGATCAGTCACAATTTACATTTTGGTTTGTTTATTAGTTAGTGTAACTAATTACATGTAATTTGCCTAAATTTAATTTAGTAACCTTGAAATAGTTTGATTAAAACTGTCTAATTTTAAGCTCTGCTATTGTTGATGTAACTTTTATTGGACATCTTGCAAGATTCTCGAGTTGTACTCTGAATTTACAAGAGTTGTTAGTCAAAATAAAGAAACGAAATATTTAGAAGATTTTATCAAAAAAAATTATTTACACTTTATTGATTAATAAATCATTTAGAAGTAAAATAAAAAATTAAAATTAACAACAATAGTCACAAATATCATTTGTCCTTTTTGTTTTGGAAGTTTTGGAGTTGTTTTAGCACAAGAGCGATGTCGATGTTTCCAATAGACAAACAATATCACATTTTTGTTTATTCAATTCAACTTGAATTCATTTTGAATTGAAAGTAATTCAATCAATATTAGTTAAATTTATTCACATGAGAAGTTATGATTGAATTGATGTATAAAACGCTTATAAACAGAGAAATCAACCAAAAAATGGATTGAAAGCTGGTCCAAGTGAGGGTTGAACCACAATTGTACTGGTTGTTGTCACGGTTGTTGGATAAACACTTGTTGATGTAACTGTACGATATTTAGTGCTAAAAGCATTGTATTTGAGTGTGTAAATTTTAGATTGTGTTGATGTTGCATCAGTTACTGTTGTATAAGTGTGAGTTATAGTTGATGCAGGTTGGACCTGAGGTTGAGCGAAGCGACCAAAGGCAAGTTGATTAAGCCCATTGGCAATTTGTTGATTCTGCTGTTGTTGTTGTTGCTGCTGCTGTTGTTGCTGTTGTTGTTGTTGTGCTTGAGCATGTTGTAATTGTTGAAATTGTTGTTGTCCACTTAAGAAATTGTTACCATTGAAATTGTTTCCATTGAAATTGGGTTGCTGTAAAGGTAAGTTATAACCAGGGAAACCATTGAGATTAGGTTGAACTGAGGCTCGGAGTGTTGGTCCATTTGGTTGCAAGAGTTGAGTGGCTAAAAGTCTTTGAAATTGTTGGGCTTGAGCTGCTGCAAGTAAATCAACAGTATTCAATCGAGGAGTAACTTGAGTTGTTACTGTTGTTATGGTTTTATCAATTGTGCTAGCTGGCTCAGTAATGGTTCGCGTTCGGGTTGCTCGACCGTCATAGAAACTAAGAACCTTCGTATTATAGACAGTTTCGTGTAAGATAACTTCAGTCGGTCTTGTTATTGTTTCATATTGAGGTTGATCAGGTTGTTGATTATGATAATTTTGTAAGCCAAGATACATAGCAGCCAAAGCTGGGTTACGAAGAGCAGCTCCAACCACGAGAGGATTAGAAAGATCAAAAGGAGGAAGATTTTGACCTAAAGGTGAATTGAATCCATTTTGTCCAAATCCCGTTGAGGGATCAAGAGTTTGAAGACCTGCAGTCGATAATAAGGCGGAAGTTGCTTTACCGTTAATCAAGGCTCCATCCTCGGGTAATGAAGTTAATTCGATTGCTCCACCAAGAAGAGAAGGTTCGAGATTTTGTTCGGAAGCTTCAAGTCCATCAAGTATTGCAGTTCCGTTAGACATCTCAGCTGAAGCAGTTGCTAAAAGAGCAGAGTCACCAAATGGCATTGTTTTGTAAGCAGTAATCAATTTACGGATAACAAAGCTCTCCGTTATTGTGTGATTAGCTGAAGCTTTACCGTCAAAAACTGGCACGACAGTTGTTCGTGAAACGTGTTCAGTCAAAGAATATGTTCGACTTAAAACAATGGGTGGTAACTCTAGTCCATTTGGTCCACCGGTAACTTCATTGCCATTCAACGGTAAAGGCTCAGTGGGTTCAATTAGACCTCCTTCATCACCAGCAAGTAATAAGCGCGCGGAAGGATGAATTGGTTCATCAACTGTTGTCACTAAAGTAACTGTATCGACTTTTATTGGTGATCCATTTAGATGGTGAGTTATCTCACTTGTTACAGTTTGAACTTGTTTCAATGGAGCTGAAGGTTCAATTGGCCCACTTAAAGGATCACTTTGATCAAATAATGGAGGTGAATATGAACCAGAGGATATTTCTGAGCCATGATCGGAGCCACTTCCTAATGATTGTGGGTCAGTATCGCGAATTTCTTCTTCTCGAGGTGCTGGTGCTGGAGTGCTGGGCTTTTCTTCATTACGTGATCGACGATAGCTGCTGTTGAGGCTTGATCCGGAGCGTCCAATACCAAGGCGCTTTTGAAAACGTTGGTTAATCTCTTTGGCAGCTTCCTCTTCGACCTTTTCCCTTGAAGTAGGTGAGGCAGTTGAAGATGCAGCAACTTTCACCTTGAATCGATTCAATCGGACCTTGAATTGAAGAAAAAAAACAAAAAAATCAGAAAATTTTATAATTTCAGGCACGAAGGTGAACTTTTCAGTCCAGTTTATTTCTATTCTTTATCAAAGCTCAACAATACGTTCGTGTAATGACGAATTAAGCGAAAGACAGGATGAAGCTATCAAGATGGCTTTTAATGGTCTATCTGTTTATCTAACCGTCATCTTTAAAATGAGATCTGTGCTATTTGTGACAATTTATATTTAGCCTTGCTTTGAATAGTCTCAACTAACTTATTTATAATTTTTACAGAAAACAAGAATCAAGCTGAGATTAAAATTTTCAAAACGTAAATAATTGCTAACAATAAACAATGTAAACAATGAATATGGAAATTAATGAACTTGATTAACGTAATCAAAAATTGTAAGATTTGTGAAGCATGATTTTTCAAATTTTGTAAAACTTTTCATTTTACTGTTTTAGTCTTGATTCAATGTCAAAACTTTTCTTGATTAATTTATCTCTCCTTTTAATGGAACCTGTATCGTGTTTTATGCTGATTTTATTGACTAATTAATCTCTTACCCGTGGATTTTCACGTGGAGCATAAGTCAACCTTGTTCCTATTCGAGTAGGTCGACGTAATTGAACTTTATTTTCTTTAACATTGCTATTTCCGCCTTCCGTTTCCTTGGGCTCATCTTCCTTTTTAGATGACTCGAGGACTTTTAATGGCCTTACACGTCTAACACTTTCACTTGATTCTGATTTAAGTGAATCACGGCTTGGACGTGGTCGAGCTGAAGGAATGACGCTTACTGAGGCAGAAGGTTTAATCTCGGTTGGACGAGTTGAAGATGATATTGGTTCACTTGAGCTCTTCACGTAAGACGTGCTCTTCAAAATTTGAGCATATTTTCCATTGATATATGTTCCAATTACTTTTGTCTCATGGACTGTAGTTGCTCCATTGAGTACCACAGTTCCACCAAGCACAGTTACCAATCCAGTTGGATATTGAGCTCCTGAATTAACTGGTTCGCTAGACAATTGATCGTTGAAAGATGGTGATGGTGAATAGACTGTTGGTTTAACATCATAATGTGAGCTTGCAGATGTTGGCTTTATATCAGAAACCTTTGGTGGACTCGATGTAACCTCTATTCTGCTTGGCTGAATGGATGGTGGACTGGTTGGCGTAATTTCTGTGGGTCCTCCAGTAGCTGCTGCAGAAGCAGGTGTGAAGACGATGACAGTTCCATCTACAGTGGTTCGAAAATTGAGGAAACCTCGAACAGTAACTGTAGGCAGTGCAGTTTCCGAGGTGAAACTTTCGGCAACCAGAGCAGCAGCTTGAGGAAGCACTGGATGAATATATTCAGATTGGCAGTTTACTGAAAATGATTTGACTGTAAGGAAGAGAAAAAAATCGCAAATTAGTGATTATGACATATTGGTTTGAACAAATTCTGGAGTACAAAACAAGAAAACCCATTTATTCAATTATTATCAATCAAGAATCCAAACATCTTTCGTGTGTCAACTTGGCTTTGTGTCATAGCCAATTAATTAAGTATTTGATACAATTGTGCTTCCAGCTAAACTGTTTCAATCCAATTCAATTATCTTGAGGTAGAATGAAATACATTTTCCCTCAAGATCATTAATCATTTTCACTTTTAATTAAAATTATCATTATGATTATTCATTGATTGGATCTTCATCTTTAACGGTTCAAACAAATACTTGCAACAGCAGCTTTATTCATCAGTCAACGTCCCTGAATTATTACACTTGGTTAGATAATTAATCACGAGTTAAACACTTGGATTATGTGATTACAGTTAATAGAAATATTGTTTTACCTTTTCAATTTGAAACTTGTATTAAAACTGGCCTTTTGATTGATCAGTGATCCAAGTTGAAACAATAAACAACATGAAGAAACCAAAATCACATGTAACTGCACTTTCGCAAATTATCAGTTCATCATTGAATCATCAAAGAAACACCTTAATTGTCCCTATTGATTACAAAATTTACAAACTGATTGATCGTGACCATTAGACTGACAATCAATAAACACAAATTATGGAGCCAAACAGAATCAAAAACAAGCTTAACATTGATAACAACAATAGGAAAAAAGCAGCTCACGACATTTAGCCAACAGCCATTAATTTTCAAACCTCAACCAACGCTTATTGGTTAAATTGAAAGGGTACAATAAAGCGGTTTCTTTAAAATCAATGATGATTATCATTTAAAGTTAATTACAGTTATTTTATTGCTTCCAGGTCAATCAAATTGTCTAAATTAATTGTCAAAAGTATATTAGCATTTAAATTTGATATCCTAACAACAGGAACAATAAATAATACAAACTAAAGTGTCATTTAACCAGAAAACAGTGAATAATAAATGTAAAATAATTTGGTAATCCGATAACTAATAATATTGAATAAACTAAATTGAATGAGACAACTGATTACATGTTGATTAAAGACGATGATAGACCAAAATAGAGCAACAATTTAGATTGAAAAGTGTTGAGAAAAAAAACACATCTGAAAAATTAAGTATAACTTGTCCATTTTAACCAGAAAAGTTAACCTCAATTTTTGAATATCCCATTATCTGTTACATTATTATTACCCTGATTAACATGATTGTTGTCGATGAAGAAAAAGGTAACAGAAAAATTCCCACAAAATTTGTGTCTATTATAATTGTTAATCCACAAATGTAATTACAAGTTAACAACAATCATTTAACAAATTGTTGGCACAATGAGAAACCTTTCAATCTTCAAGCTTCCCATTTGAAAACAAACCAAATGATCTGAAAAGCGAATCTAAATTAATATCAAATTAAACAGTCAAGGTAAATTGAAAGTAAAAACAATTCTCATCATTATTAATTCCTTACATTGTCATCTTTTGTCAATTACCTTACAGCAATCAAAATACGACAACAATTAAAAGTCGCCTTAAAACCAGACTTTTCATGTTTAATGCAAATCATATCATGAAAGAAAATTGAAATCGCTTGAAAGACAAAAGGTTTTATGTATTGAATGTAAAGTCCAACTTGAATGGATAAAACAATGAAAAGTTAATTGTGATTAGAAATGATTGTAAAAGGTTCAAAGAGCGAACTTGAAGCTTATGAGATTGAAATAATTTTCAATAACCTTTTCCAATGAAAGCAACATTTGTTAGTCAGATTTGATTCGGAAGGAAGAATCTGAAATGATTAAATCCTTGGAATTAAATGTTTTCCTTTCACAATTAAGTAACAATCAAGGTTTTAATGAGCAAAAGCAAAACAAACTCATAACTAAGACTATTGATGAGGCAAATGAAAGGTTTCAACATTAATCAACATTTCAATTTGATCATCATCAGTAACATGATAATAATCTAGAATCAAGTCAAGGCTTGTGAATTAACTGTTCAAGTAAAGCAAGATTAATGGTTTCAAAAAACAATTGTAATAAATGCGATTGAAAAATGTCTACAAATTGGCTTCTTAATTTACATTTAATCAAAGTTAATTGGAAACATTTAGAAAGCGAAAAGCTTCTTGTATTAACCTTGATTGGGTTACTTATTTGTTGATTGCTTTTGATGCCTTGTAAAAATACAGTTTAACCATTAAGATTTAGATATTATTAACTGCATTTTTTTAGGTTAGTTAATCTTGGTTAACCTATCAATTTCACGTTTAATTTTAAATGCTAAATGACCCCAATTTGTATTGAATTGGCCCTCAAAAAAGGTACACAAAATACAATAACAGAAAGTAATCCTTGACATTATTTAAAGTTGCATTTCAATTGGTTTTAATTGTTGGCCAAAGCTGACCATTGTAATAATGACTTTTTAAGGGAAAAGATTTCATTCAATTTCAATAAATCTAGACTTTTTCAACTGATTCAAGATTCAGATTTGAATTCGATATTGATTGTTGATCAGTTTGAGCTTCTAATTGGAAAGACACTTGATTAGTTATTGAAAGAAGATTTAATTTAAAATATTTTACTCGACTATTGAGTCAATGTTTTAATGTTATCGATTTGAGAATCAAAATTAATCACTTTTCATCATTTTCATCAATTTAATGTCAATCTTGTCACAACTAATCATCATTAGACTGTTGATTGTCCCTCATTCATCATGATTGAACTGATCACAACTGATGGATAAAACCTGGTGACGACTCTAATCTAATGTTGAATCATTTTTGCACCTTCATTTACAGGCAACAATTTAGATTGTCCAAAATAACCATTTTCATTGTAATCATAATCAATTAGTTCCTGTTTGAGTTTAAATTGTAAATTTAATTTTAAATTTTCTTCTTCCATGTTCAACTTGCTTCTGTGAAACCTGTGTCAGGTTTACCTTACAGTAGATTAATTATCATTAGTTGGAAATAATGACTAATATTTTCCTACAAAAATAGCACTTTATCGTTGTTTAAATTGTTTAATTAACAATCTGTTGACGTTGAAATGTTGCTCTTTCAACTGTTTATTGTTACAAAGCAAGACTCACGATGAAACATAATTGATTAACTTTCCCAAAACTGGATTTCACTTTTAAATTTTCTGAATGAATTTATTTGTTATGAATGCAATAAAGTATATAAAAGGTAAGCAAAAGCCGAGGAAGAAGAAGAAGAAAACTTTCACTTGAAAAGATATAAATAATTTATTAATTGTTAAATTCATTTAGCATGATAATGATGAGCCGATGATGTGATGAAACTTGAAAAGAAATGAAAAACTAAGCAAACAAAAGATTGTTAAACAGTTGAACAAATGATTGTCATTTTACTGTTCAACAAGTTTGATCGCAACGAAAATGATTACCATTTCATTATCAGTGAATCTTAAACAGATTAACATGATACTTTTGAGGGTCGAAAAGGTGATAAACTGAACTTTTCTCACCAAAAGTGTCGACTTATTGTCAAAGTCAGATTGACACATTTGATTCAATATGAGAGTCGATTTTGTTCACTTTGATTCATTGTTTTGCATTTGATTCAAGTTGAATTGTCGAGTTAATTATTGGGATAATTAAAAGTTCAGGCAAGAGTTGAGAAATAAGGAAAATGATAACTTTGATTATTGAAGGACATTTAAGGTCGTTTAATTTAGAGGTTATTGGATGATGATGATATAACTATTAAAGATGCATCAAGGTGGAAATGAAAGTGAGTGAAACCCTGAAGGCGTTAAATAGGTAATAACAGAAAGATGATGAATCTCGCCATGATTGACAGAAATGATTACAAAGTGAGACATTATATTCACGCTGATAACCATCTTCCGGCCATTTGAGTCCGACGAAAAAAAAAGTCATCTTTAAGGAAGAAAAATGTTGGACTTTTGATGAAATATAAAATCATAAAAAATATCCTTTAACGACCAAAGTTGAAGGTGCAAAGTTTTCAACTGAAAAGTGAATGTAAATCAAAAATTGAAAAACTGTCAACATGAGATGAACACAATGCAAGAGATGAAAAGTGACCTTTTCAACTTATCCCGCTTTGACTCAATTACAGCTAAATTATTCAAATCTGATTATCTGAATGAATTTCTTTCTTTCAATTTTTCATTATTGATCGAGAGCAAACCATTTACTTTCCGTTTCATGATAAATTTAACGATCACTTTGAATGATATTTGATCAAACTTGGCAAACCTTGTTAAATCATAATTTTGTTACAACAATAAATGGCTATATTTTGATTCATATCAACCTTGATAGTTTTGCTTATCAAACACACTCACACATTTAGATCCATTAACTTGCCAAGTTTGGTTTCTCTAATTGTAATCATTAGTTAATCAACCAAACCTTTTACAATAGTAGACACGAATTAAGGTATAAAATGTATTAAACTAATAATGATAATCTCTTCCTTAAAATAGTGAAAAGTGATTGAACAGCCAAATACCATTCCCAGGTTAAGGTGTGTGTTTAAATATCTCATTGATTCATTGTTTCCTTTACTTTTAATTATTCAATTTACTTATTATCAAAGACAAACAATTATTGACCTAAATTTAAATTATAACAAATGGTTAAACAAAGCTTGCAAAAATGCTTTCATTTTCATTGAGCTTTTCAATTGGAATAATGAAAAATGAGAAAAAAAACTTTACACTTTTATATTTACTTCATTATTCATCAACCTTGATGAGTTAACAAATAATTAAGATGTAACTTCATCAATTGGAATCATTAATGTTATTTAGCCTTTAAAATGAAAATTAAAATAATAAAAAATATCCAAACGATCGTTACAATGAAACGAAATGGACATTGAAGATTGCAATAAAGATTTGGAAAGCTTATTTACGGATCAAGTTTGGTTGAAAAGTGAAAATATTTGGACAATTAAAGAGTGAAAATTAATATCAAAGGTAACCTTGAGTCAAGACTCGGTTAAGGCCAATCGTGTAAACTTGAAGTTCATTGAGAGAAATGTCGAAAAGTTCATTTGGGAACTTTATGAGTGGATTGATGACAATTTCATGTTTAACAGCAGTTAAAGGTTGGGTTAATGTTTCAACTGTTACAGTTACTGATGACACAGAAAACGGTTAATCAAATGAAACGGTAATTTTGCTTCTTCATTTTTTCCCTTCAAAGTTGACTTTTTCTTGAGACTAAACAAATGGAACGACAATTAACATGATGATGATCATCATCATCATGATTAAGGTGAAAATTTTTCAAATTGGTTCAACTTCATTTTTGGTTTTAAACTTAATTTGATCAACTTTTTCTCATTGTTATTACATTCCAGGTTTAAACACTTTTCATTGATAAATATGATTATGATATTGATTTGATTCATTCAAAGTTACCTTTTTTGATGGACAGTTTAACCTCACTCGAGTTGACCTGACTCTCGGCTCTGTGAACAATCAATGAATCTTTGATTAAACTTTTTTTTTTGTTATATTCAAATGTTTCACCTCCAACTGAGGTAAACGGAAAGTGTTTCAATTTATCATATTTATTGGAATATTTCACTAAAATTCTGATAATTGAGGGAAGAAGAAGAAGAAAAATTGCACTTTTACTTTTTACATAATTTGAAAGTCACTTGAGTCAATATCTACAATTAAGGTGACAATTAAGTTATTGACTCTATTTATCTCACGTCTAGCTGAGTCCCTTTTCAGGTTAACAGTTCTTACTGGTGTTAATCTGGTTAAATCGGTAAATCAAAGTCAATTGCTGAATAATTCATGTTAATCGTTCATTTGGTAAGTCAATCAGTTGACACAAATCAGTGTTAATTTGATTCCTTTTCTGTATTTCAAAGTACTTCAAATGCTAACAAAAGAAACCAGTCAACACAAGAAAAGCTTAACCAGAGCTCAACCAGAATTTCAATCAAAAGGCAAACTCAATTTGACCAACAATCAAGGCAAAATTTTTAACCCGAAAATGGACCAAAATGTAACCAGAATTTAACCAGAAAATGAAAATGTTCAAATGAATCTTACAATTTGGTCTAATCAAGAAAAAACTTGAAGCTAATCATCATCTTTAGGGAAGCTCATGAAACTACTTAAAAATAGTAGAAAGAAAAGAATCTAATGGACGATTGGAAAGATTAATCATTAATAAACAACAATTAAGCTACAATTAACATGAAGATTAAGCAACAATAAAACGCAATAATATCATGTTGATAAAACTCATCAAAACTAAATGCGTTTAACCAGGTTATTATAGCGGCAGTTTAACATGTAAAAGTTAAATGTTTAATCAACTTTCATTTTTTAGTCTAAAACCAAATTTAACTAATTTTGATGAACATGTTTCAACTTGGCTAATCAAACGTTTCCCAAATACAAAAAGGTAAACTTTTATTGATGTTTTTGCTCGCAAATAGACAGACAAATGAAACATGAAAATAAACATTTGCTGATGAGGAAATGATTAAATCGGGCTCTTTTTGCTAACCGTAAATCATCAGGTAAAATGGATGCCAATCATTGAACCGGGCTTCAATTTGAAATGGCCAATCAGTTGTTGAAAGCTGGTCAGTTGATATTTATTCAAGAGTTGAGATTAAACAATTGAATAAATAAAAAATGAAGTGAAAACTTTGAAAAGGTTTCCACCTTTCAATTGATTACAATTCATGATAGATGATCAACTCTTCATCTCTTGTATTGTCATAAGTGTTGATTGAGTAAATAGAGAATCGATTGATCACTTAATCTTGTCTTAATCATGAATAAAGCAACATAATCTTTTAATAATCCATTTGTTGTCACCTTAAATTGTTTAAATGTTGGTCAAGTTGGATTAACTGTAGGACTCATCTTGATTTTGACCTGTCAATCAAAATGATTGTTAATCTTAATTCCATCAAATTAACACGCAATTTATGAAAATAAACAGTTTACCTGAGTTTACACAAAACTGATTCTGTTGATGATGCATTTCAAGATAAATTATCGACTAAACCGGAAGATAACTTTTACCTTTTTTTTCTCGCAAAAGAATGACAATTTTTGTTAATCTTGTTGACCGGAATCTGATAGACTGGTGAAACTGGTGAAAAAAGTCAATTGAATGATTGGGGAAAAGTTTGTGAAACGATTTGGAATAAAGAATTTGAAAATAACTTTTTCATCTTTAAATTTCCCTCAACTTTGCTCATCTTTACATGACAATTGAAGCGGCAAGTTTGAGCCATAAATTGTGATGAACAAGTAAATGGACTAAAAAGATTTTCGCTGATAATTTAATGACATTAAAGCAAAGTTGACTAATGTTGACTTGATTAAGATGAAAATTGACACAAAAATTCTTGGATTGTAACAGTAACTTACTTGTAATGAGTAATGTTGATATGATGAGTAAAGATGAGAATGAATTGAATGATTTCATTTTTGCTATTGAGTTATTATTTGGCAGATAAAAGTATAATCACAATTTACAAAGGCTTCAATGGATCAATGTTTAATGCACATTATTGGTTCACAATGGTTCAACACTTGAGGTCACTTTGAAGTTAATTGTAAGGTAAAATTTCAATGGATTGACACTTTGTTTGTAATCAATTTGATGGTAAAAGGCACTTTTGTTTGGTGTAAATGATTACAGATAAACATGGTTAAAATTGAACACATTAATGATGGCAATACATTGAGATATTTATCACAGTAAGTCCCAGTGATGAAGACGAATTTGATGCTAACAAGGTTGACTTTACTCCCACTAAACTTGTTCAACTAAAGCGGTTCAACTTGTACAAACTTGTGCTATTAGTTAAGTACGTGTTAACGTGTTCAAGTCTGATTGAGCTCACTCGATTCAACTAAACTCACTTTAATCTCGAAAACAAGTTAACCGTTTGTGTGATGAACGAGCGCCATCTCAACGAAGTTGGGCAACAGAAACAACAAAAAGTGAATTTTCAAGTAAATTTTTGCTTCTTTTTCCCATTTCCAATCAATTCCCTCTCAACTGTTCAACAAATTGAATAAAGTCGTTTTAATTGATAATTTGTTTCCTTACCGTTTCTCCCAATTAACCAAGTTTCAATCCTTTTCACCATTTCAATTGTGATGAACATTGATGCAAATTGATAAAGAAAAATTATCGACTGAACTGAGCTTTTCAAAATGAATAATCAAACTATTTTTAACCACCTAAACGATATAATTATAAATTCAAAGTGAAAGTTGAACAAAACAGTGAAACTGAAAAGTTTCAATTTTAAACCAACTCTAAAAATGATGAATAGTTCAATGTTCATTAAATGCTGAAAAATGTTGATCATTCAATCCTTTGAAGGTGATGAGATGATTAACTAAAAAACTTGAAAATTTGAGTTTAAATTGACATTCATTGACAGTTATTACCAGCCAATATGACCTGATTCATTTAAATGCTATTGATGAGTTACTATTAACTATTTTTACATTTTAATTTGAAATTGAATATCAATAATTAATAAGCAATAATGATTGAACACTACTTTACAGCGAAATGGTTGAACCGACCAGAATCAAGAAAAGAGGTTAAAACATGTTAACTTGACAATAATGCTCAAGGTGATGTAAAAGGCAAAACAAAAGGTTGACTCCAAAAATGAATTTAACCTAATCAAGATTAAAGTTAATTAGCTTTTCCGTTTTCTCTCTTTTGTGTCACCTAATTGTAATTATCATCATCATCATGATTTATCATGTGATAGTCATGATCATTAATCGTATTCCTTTTAATCTGATTTCCATAAATTGTGTAGCTTTCCAAGTGACAATTGTTTTTGATCTTTATTTTTGCATTGTGTGCTTAATTGTTGTCAACTTTTTCTGTTTTATACTTTCTTATTGAGAACAGTCGAGTTGGCCTTAATTAAAAGTGAGACAATGAATACAAATAGTTTAACTTTTATTATTAATATTTCAACGGATGAGACCTGACAATCAACTTAATTCACTGTTATTCTCATTATTATTACTGTCCACAGTAGGCAGTTGATTGTTGAGCTTATTAATGTAATAATATAAGATGAGAGGAAAAAGCAAGAAAATGAGATCAACTTGAATACGAAAAACAAACGGACAGAAAGTAAATCTTGATGAGATGACCTGAAATGTTGCTAAAAATAACGCAAAATATAATATTCTTTCATTTACCTTTAAATATGATAAAAATAATAATATATTAACACTACAATCAACAGATGAAATGGTTTAAATCTTTGATTTGTATATTAAATTAAATCTATTGTTGCTCTGAGATTCCATTTTTCAACTTCACCGTCTTGTTTGGTTGAGATTAAGATATCAATAATCGCAAGAGCTCAATAAAATGCGTTGATCAAATATTATTACGAGGCGATTGTACATGAAGACAATTTATCATTCTGAAAGCAGTACTTTAAAGCAGTGAAATAAGCTCTTTAGATCGCATGATAAGACTTTGCTGAAAAAGAGTTTTGCTAATCACAAAAGTCACAACTTTTCATTTCGATCGAAACCAAGAAATTTGATTTTCTAAAATCAGAAAGTTTGATCGTTTGAGCTACTTTATTTTGAGTTTCTCTATTATGAGCTAATTCACACACAATATCGATACGATTTCCGAAATAACGGTGGTTATAGTAGCCGAGAACAAGTCCAAACAACATTTGCATTACTCCAAGAAGAATAGAAAGTTTCATTTTGTAAGAGTTGAGATATAAAATTTTATTCACAGAGACTTGCCAAACAGGATCGATTCCAAACCAATAAGGCTTATCGGAGTACTGTGTTAGTGGGTCCAACATCATATTTTCTGGGTAAAGTCCTGTTTTAGGCAATGTTGTTGCTTTCCATGACGATCCGAAAATGTTCAATGACTTAGAAAAAATATCATTATAAATGAAACCAGTATATATTGAGAAGAGACTCATCAACAGAATCAAATATCGTCCACCAAAGAATGTTTTGAATATTTCGTTGCCCTCCGCCTGGGCTGCAATTGATTGCTCTTTTAAACACATCCAAAGAGCAAAGAGAAAAATTGATAAACCATGTCCAGCAATCCAAACACTAGATTGAGAATGGAAGGTACAGATGATCCACTTCTTTCTGTACCTCGTCTCAATGCCATATGGATTCGCTCTAAATCATCCACTGGACACCAACATTCAGCAATTAAACATTTTCTTGTTAGATCAAGATTAAACATATTCAAAGTTAAATAGATAGCTTTGATCTTTTTGACTTTAATAATCCAATCTTTGATATGTTTTGCTGCAGCAACTAAGACACAATGACGATGTTCATTTGTTTGTTTAAGAACAGTGCTAAGTTCTTCGATTCTTGAGACAACACCGGCAATCATTTCTCTTCTGTCAGCAGCAGTATCCGGACAAGGGTAAAGAGTGGCTCTGAATCCTTCACAGATTTTTTTGACTCGAGATTTCAATACCATAACTTAAAAATCTAGTTCTACAACTGTACAAAAGGTAATCTAAGTTTCAATTTTCGATTTTCGCTGAGATTTGCACTAAATACGGGAAACTTTTGAATACAAGTTGTAACACAAGTTGGACCCAGTTTTCTTGTTTTCCAGTTACCTCTACTTACCCACAGCTCTGCCTCAACTCTTGCAACAGTTGTTGCGCTAACTTTGTGTTAAACGCTTAAACATTTTTTTATAAGCAAACCAATCCATCAATTTGCCTTCTAATCATTTTATAACATTAATTATGAACTTAAATTGCGCGATTAATAATTAAATTCGAGAGACGAGACAAAATTCTTGAAAAATTAATGTTCCTTCGAATTTTTGGTGTTTAATTTTATCCCAACTTTCAATGTTGATTCGAACTTTAAATTGCAAATTTTTTTGTGGCTCAACAAGTAATCGCAGGCAATCAATTTCACGAATGATTAACAGCTATTGTATTTAATATATTTAAATTTCGAGTTAATTATCAAATAACCTTACAGAGTTTCGGCAAAAATTATGATTAAAAATAAAGTTTCATCAAATTAAACTTTTGTCTTTACCAAACAAGGTGAACATTATCAAGGTTTGATTGCAAGTGATTTAATTTTTGTATTGTAAACTTATATTTGGTATTTAACCAGAATCGCATTAAAAACCTTTTGTTTTATGCTTAACAAATGACTTATTAATTATGCAAAATGCTTTGAAATTATCAAGATAAACTATTTTAAAACATTAAAATCTAACCTTGATGTACAGCCTGAGTCAACAATTCAAAAAAATTAACCCTTCAATTATGCCTTGAAATGGCTTACAGGTAAAGATGAACATATTGAATTATGTGATCTATGAATCACATTGAGATTTCAATTTTGCACGACAAAAATTTCATGATTATGATCAAAGATTATCAAGATGATGAATGAATCTATCAAAGATTATGAATTGTATAAGAGATTGAAATGCTCCAAAACAGTTAAATCACATTGAAATCACATAACAAATGAGCGAAATCATCTTTAATCATTATTATCAGAACATCTAAATCGTAAACATGTTTCGTTGCAAACTATTTCTAGGCAATTTACTTTTACTTTTTTGATTATGATTAATTATATTTTTGGAAAGACTGTTTAATTAGATTGATAATCCTTGATTTTCAAGCACTCATTGGCCATTGAAATTAATTTGAAGGTTAATTTTATGAGGAAAACGTTTTGAATCAATTTATGTAATCAAAACTGATGCAGAAAGAAAACTGTAAAGTAATCAATTCTATTCACGATTTCAATCAAATATCAATAGATTAAGGTTTTAGGAGTTAAATGTTGAAACTTGAAACAATAATCAATTTATTAATTTACAAACTGTTTTATTTGTATTGAAAATAGTGACCGTTAAGAGGCTCAAGACAATCAACTAGTCAGAAATATGATAAACTTGAATTATTCCTTGAATTTTTCTAGATAACTTTTTGTTACAATTGCTTTTTTCGGCACTTGATGAAATCAAATTCATAGTTGATTACATGGTCAGATTAACCTCGACTCAGCCCAAAGACTCTTGCCACTTAGTAATGGTCATTGAAAAATGGTCAAACCCAATAAACTAGAAAATCATCTTTTAATCGACAAGTTTTATCTCTTAACCAAACCTGGACATCCTCTAACATTAGGTGTGCTTCGAGTTGAAACACTTCGTGATTTGGTTCACGAGCCATTTGAAGGTAATCATCATCATCATCATTGCAATCACTATCAACTCGATGGTTATCATGAAGAAATGAATGCAGAAACAAACGTGTTAATTGTGATTGAGAAAACAAAACCATTTCAAGTTTTGTTTGTTTTCGCGTTTATTCTGGAATGAAGGAAATTCTCTATCCTTTTATTTATTCTCTAATCGGGCGTTGGCCAGTTGCAATTTTGATTCATTAAAATATATGAAAGTATATAAAATAGCTTTTAATCACTTTATTATTTGTTAAACGCCATCAAACATCAGGTCAAGGTTGATTGTAAATTCAGAGGAACACCAAACTAATTATGTTGAACTAAAAAACCAAAAAGGGATGAAAATGATTTAAGGTATGGTCAGTTTAATAATATGAAAAATGATAATAATAATAAACAGCTCTTTTTATCAGCTTATTTTCTGGTTCCTTATTATTGGTTTCCATTTAAATTTAAGCTTAAAGCTACAACACGTAATCCAGTTGGTCCACCCTAAATTATTATAAGTAAATGAGTGGATGAATGTGTTTGTGTGTACTAGCATTGATT